GTCGCCGTTCCCTTCTCTCCACTTTATTCGGACTTAAGCGACCGATTTAGAATCTCACGCTCTCGGATATAGATATATCAAGCGTGAAAGCTTCTCCGTTGCTCTGTAAAAGGCTGTCACTGATCTTCGGTATGCGTTGGGATCGACCATAAAACCACAAAAAAAGTATATGGGACGGCAAGGTCTATCGTATTCGTGCCATTCGTTCGAGTTTCGATTTCATTACTCGGTCGGTAATAGACGGCTGAATAGATACCTACTTATTGACCGAGTGATTTACAAGGATCCTCGCAGACGACATTTTCCTATTGCATAACCGGCTTTGTTTGCAATGAGAGAGAGTGAGAGGCAGCAAGTAAATTCACACTTAGACACCTATCTTCGCAATATTTAGATCGCGCTGCAAACAACAATGCGTATAGCGCGATGCTATAATTTAATGTTGATAAAGAAGGAACGTTAACATCGTTCATAAATCCTGGTTCAAGCTATCGTGGCGCTGTTTTCGTGTTTACGCGTTTTCAAATTCTCAACGGTTACGTTGATTCCCGTACTCCCGAGGCGCGAGGCGTAGATACGTGTATTAAAGACTTGGCGTCAAAGTATCTTTCACGTAAATAAAAAATGTTTTAATGATAAAAGTCGGACAATGATATATTTGTTAGCGCGTAACTTCCGACCCACCGTGTGTAGTCTGGGATCGGTGTGATTTTACGCGCTAAATGCAGCGATGTATATTTTGTATCGTCCAAGAAAACGAAAAGGAGGAGAGTCAGGCACCCAAGTCCTTTACTTTTAGAAAGCAACTAAATCCCACCTTCCGGCAGGTGTCGGCATCGTGCTTATAATAAATCTCGATAATGTATCTAAATGGTTTTTGCAATTAATGTCGTGGCGGTAATCCCTGTTCATGATTCATCCGATTCTGGAAGAAGCATTGCACCGTGGCCGATTAGGAGGATTATCGAATCGCGAGGGTCTCCCGCAACACGTATGTCTGTATACTTTAGTACGTGGTTAGGATACGTGTACGTATTTGTATTTGTATATATATATATAATACACGAGTCTAAAAGCCGTGAGCAATTTTTGGCTGTGTCACGATGGCTTTTCATTGAAGAAGTCTTGCCAAGAGAGTGGCCGATGTCACCGGCCTCTTTGGGATCGTTTCCTTTTCGGTGCGTCGGCGTCCCGGTGCACGTCGATAAGTAACCTGGCGCAATTTATCAGTCGCGTCCCGCTTTCGGCGTCCCGACGACCAATACGAGTTCTTCCATTGGCCAGACTAATTTCAATCTCTGAATTCCCTTTTTATTCCTTCTTCATCGCGTTCGTCGTTCGCTATCCATCCTTTTCCACTCTTTTCCCTTGGCAAATTTATTATCACTCGTTATTTACCCCCTGCAACTTCTACGTACGCTTGTAATACAATGATTTACGGCGACTCGCTTCTGCGAACGTATAGTACGGTTGTTCTGGCAGATCGTCTTTCTTTCTTTTTTTTTTTTCCTTTCCAATTCAATTTATTTTTCCCTTCGCTTTACGATTATTAAATCGACTAAGAATTCGGCCTCGTCAGCTATGTCAGTTGCTGAGATTTTAGCTGACACCAGCTATTTGTATTTATAACCTTTCCTTTGTATGACGTTGACGAATTTTCATGGCTTACACCATCATCCTTTTAATCGCTATACGCTCGCAATAATAATACGTGCTTTATCGCGACTCGCTATTTCTCTCGTGTTATTTACATATGTACGTAGTCAAGCGCACACCTCGTCCGATACCGATTGCGCTGTGCGATACGAAGGTCGGCCGAAGATTATCATTACGTTACGCAGACGGACAACATCCATGAAAAATTCACCAGGATGCATCTTTGTACGAGTTCAAACATCCCCACAATGTCATTTCCTTATCAAAAATGTATACTCGTCGTCTCCCCATCCCTGTCCTACATGGTTTTCGTAAACTCACAGAATTTCTCCGTAAGCAGTTTTTCAACTCGTACGTAGCATCGCCATCGGTGAAGCGCGAGAAACGTCGAACTCGCCTCGTCGACTCGGTATTATAAAACAGGCTGGGCAAAGGAGGTGTGTGTTTACGCACCGGAGTCTTCCTAATAATCACTGTGCAGTCAGCGGCGTCATACCGGGCAGTCAATATACCGCTCGTAAATAAGCAGACACGTATAAGAGCGAGTTAGGCTTATATACCAAGTAGATATGAGAATCCGTGATCGGACGACGCCGACGACGAGGGCGACGGCGACGGCGACGGCGACGACGACGCGACAGGCGTCCTTGCTCCAAGCGCTCGCGCTACAACCGATGACGTAATCGTCGCGATATCCCGCAATCTTGGCGCCGTGGTAAACTCGTAATATCTATTTTTATCTGGTGGAGGCAGAGCCGCGCCGTCCTCTCCTACCTCTTTCTCAGCCTGCCCTCGACTACGATCACCCTGGTTTCTTCCTTTGGCAACTGCTTGCGTGTGACGACCATGTACGACGCACCTTTACGTCTCTACCCCGGCCTGAGGTCCAAATCTTATTGTATCTATGGGCACCACGCGAGCGCACCTTGTCTCTGGCTTCCTTCCTCCTTTCCTTATGGTTGTATCCCCAACGGAGAAGATGTGCCAACTTGTTTCTGCTTGACATCGCGGACTACGTTTCTCCACGGGAAAACAGTATTTCTCGTAGTTGGTTTCAATGTACGCTTGCGCGCTGGCGTCGCCTCTCCTCACTTTGCGGTTGGAATTCGAAACGTGCTATTTGGTACGAAAAGAGATCCCCTGGGGGCGAGGGTGGGAGATTGACTAGGACACGGTCGGTAATGCAGTTTTATACCGACCCGTCTGAACGCGCGCTGGTCGGTAACAGTTGCAACGTTGTCCGACGCTCCTTATTGTGTACCGACGATAAATATATTCGCCACCAAATACTCGAAGCATATAGATGACGCTCTTTACGATGGCGTCGAAGAGAACTCCGGGCACTTCTGATCGATAAGACACTTCCGCTGTTACACGAGGTTAAACCCTCTCTGGGTCAGTGGTGACACGATTGGGGTAGGTCGTGTCGACGAGAGGTAGAGAAAAGCCACATAACGCTTCCACATAATGACGGTGTCATTAACGATTTTTTTTGCGTCAGCAAATTGTACATGGCTCACGTACGAATTTACGTGCTATTCAAAGAGGCTGCCTCGACACTTTGATAACAATTCCAGGTAACGGCTATTGTATTTTGAGAAATTGCTTTAGCCCTCCAGTAAAATTTCTATTTTTTTTTTCCTTTCGCCACATTGTATACTGACTTCTTCGTGTCACCGCATCTTCGCCATGTTTTTCCTTCTATGGTGGCGTCGCGACACGTTCGACGTCACTGAGAAATCGTCGTTAATATCAGGGACGAGATAACGTCGCCAAGCGGACACTCGTGTCTCCTAGTACGACATAATTTCGGTGCATTATCCACATTTGTGGCAATTTATGAAATTCATACCTTTGGACGTATCTAGGGAAGGAACGACGCTCGTACCGGGTTATAATTTTCGAGGCGAGACAAACGCTCGGGCCAGTTAACTTTTTACGGGGCAGGATGAAAATGATGAGATAATTGACTACAGGGAATAAGTAGCGTATCCAACGGTGCGGCGTGGGCCGCGACCCAGACGTACCGACAGACCCCGTGCTAATGCTTATGTATACTCATTATACCTATATATTATATATATACCATACTATACTCGTCGCGTTCCTTTCCCTTCCTTATATTTACTCCGTCGCCACTATGGTGGCCCCGCGTGCTGCTCCTTCTTTGCCTTCTTGCCCTCTCGCTTTGCTTCTCTTGTCGCTCCTCGAATCTGGCGCCGTCTCCATAAACCGGCGCGACGCGTGGGACTTTCCGGCGAGGCATTTAATTGCCACACGACGCCCGCTCGGCTTTTCCTGGCAGAAACCGTACCTCCTCCTCACTCTTCTCTACATCTACGCACTCGGTTCACACATCGGAGTATCGTGCAAACACTCTCTCGGACTCTGCTTTTGTGATATTCTAGTAGACGCGCTCCATTCGCTATTAGGGCCGTGTGCGCGTGCCGTTTTCTGAATCATACTCTTGGGAAAAATGCCAATTTTTCAGCATCTAGTATCCTCCGATGTTTTATGAACTTACGAGATTGCTTGAGATTTAATCATCCGCGTTTAAAATTTAAATTGACACTCGTATAACAACATGACGTGTTATGCTATTCTTCTATGCTTTTTTAATAGACACTTGTCCTCGTGGAGGCGTTGAACTTTATTTTAAAATTAGCTGATTTTTTATTTACGTCAAATTGTTCCGTCGGTCGTACAGACTTCTGTTTTCTGTCTTTCTCTTATTTTTGACATTGATGTTGGCTGCAATGATAAGTACGTATCCGATAATATAGACTTTAATAAATTATACGGACTTCCTTCCTCGGCATTGCTCAGAGAGACTTTCGCCGGAATCGCATACCGCTCAATCGTTCCGTGTCATTGCACGGCAATGCAGTCGTGATCTCTGATAAGGCTATCGCCGCGAGATAAGGTCTCATCTATTTTGGATTAACGGTCTATTAGATAGTCCATTGGACAGCCTTCGGATATCGCTGCTCGCTACTTGCACGGTAGGTCGTCAAGTTGCGATAGCGTATTTATTGCGCTACTTGCACTTCAGAGGAATTTTATTGATCGATCTTGGGTAACGCGAACGTCATGCATCTGCGATTAGAGATCGGCAATTCAATTCTCAAGTCGTGAGTCCCACCGCTCGGCACTTTCATCGATAATATAACATAAAGGAAAGAAGAAACTAGAATTTTTTTTTTTTTTTTTTTTTTTTTTTCTAATACAAGATATATTTACAGTTATACACTCCGAGGCAATGAAAGTAGCTAGAAATGCGCCTGGAGTTGTTGCACTACGTGCTTTGCAACACGTTCCTAAGCATACGTTTAATCTGATTTCAGGCGAGGTGGGACAGAAGGAGTGGTGCACGCTGGCCTACTGGGAGCTGGGTGGTCGTGTAGGTCGTCTCTACCCTGTGGAACCAGCAACGGTGAACGTCTTCGATTCCTTACTCGATGGCGATGGTCTCTGTCTGGCAACTCTGGCCGAGAATCACACAGCATCTCCAGCGGTCCAGAGAACGCGAAGCAAGATTGGACTAGGTATGGAGGACGTTAGCGTTACGCGAGCATGAGCTTGAATTATACTCCATTGTTTGTCATCCGGAGGAAAGACCCTAAACGAATAGCATGTCGTAGGTCTGATGCTGAGCCAGGAATCGGATGGCGTATGGGCGTACAACAGATCGGAGAGTCCAATCTTCGTGAACTCGCCGACCCTGGATGATCCGGAATCCAGAACGCTCCTGGTCTACCGTGTACCTCCTGGGTTCTGCCTGAATATCTTCGACCGGACTAAGACTCTGCAGCTACCGTATTGCGGTACCACGTCGCAGGCTCCAGCCTTTGCGTCCGGTCCCGTCGACGTCAACTCCGTCCGCATCAGCTTCGCCAAGGGCTGGGGTCCCAAGTACTCAAGGCAGGAGGTCACCTCTTGTCCCTGCTGGTTGGAGGTCCTACTGGCACCCTGTAGGTGATCCTCCCAACCGGCATCTTCCACTCTCTCCAGTCCGCTCTTTGTCGTCGCTTCGCACTTGCCGTCGCGCAACGGATCGCATCACTGTGAACCAGGAGGCGTCTTGGAAGGTTACCCGATTTCCGTCATCCTCCTCGTCCTCGTAAAAGCTTGTAACGAACCTCCTCATATACGGCGCGGTATCACGTTGCCATGTTGATATTGATAATAAAATGAGATATAAAGGTAGAAGACATTGACAATGAGAATACGAGAAGTCAAATGGAGTATGGGGATGCTGCGTCCTCCTCGGTGTGTCTGTATCTAGTCCAGTGTCGTCATCAACGACCTTGCCAGGTGACCGAAGTGGCTGTACGAAAGATGGTGAACTGTACGCTCGAGTAGTCGACGAGGTAGAAACGGGACGTAGGTGGATGTCAGGTGGCCGGGTGCCTTTCGAGACGGTGAGGATGGTGTGAATTGTAGAATAATGTCAAAGGGAATCCGATCGAAGGATTCTTCGTCGTGAAATCATTGCTCGTTTATGAATGCGTAACAGAATGTTAAAACACAAATGCTGTAGAGTTTTCACTATGTCGGACCCGGTCCCCTCTCTGTCGGTTGGGGTTGTACATATGTACATGTACAGAAATATAATATCGTGCCTTTCCTGCTTCCTTCGTATGGTGGTTGGTTTAGCCCCACGAAATACCAGAGCACCGAGCTGGCTCGCCTATACCAACTAGCCTAAAGCTTCGTACTACAGTAATACACACGATACTGTGATAAGAGTCCAATACGAATTCTCCTTATGAGATGTACGCGCATGCGTATGATGGGTGTACGTTTACAAAGAGTTTTAAGAAAGAAAAAGATGAAGAAAAGGGAAAATACGAGAAAATGCTTAGCGAAAGGAGGGATTGATTATGGAATGGATGGAAGGAGGAAAATGTTGGGAATATTTTGAAGAATAAAGGTGCAAAGAAAAATAATATTATGAGAATGGATTATAAAGGAGAGACACAGAGAGAGAGAGAGAGAGAGAGAGAGAGAGAGAGAGAGAGAGGGAGAGAGTGAGTGAGTGAGTGAGTGAGTATGTGTGTAAGAGAGAAAGAGAGCAAAAGGAACGTTGGAGCGAATGCTCGGAGATAAAATGTAATGTACCACCATACGTACGTATTCAAACTCAATTGACTGATCGACCCGTAGTTCTGACCATTAGTTATTTTTGTACAACCACTTTTATCGTGTAAAAGTGGACGTTACTTAATATTATTGAATGAATTAATTAAATGAATTATACAAAAGATCGCAAACGATATGTGATGTGTATATGCCGCGTAAATGTTATATAGGTAGCTAGGTATATCTATACGGAAAAATACGATTTTTTAGGTCGTCCGCGAAAGTTATTGTAACGATGGCAATTGGATTCTCGATTGAAGCATACGGAGGTAGTAGGATGTCCTTTTAAACGAAGGCTAAGGTGGAGTTAAGGGTTAAAGTTCGATTGGAGGTTCGCGTGCAATCCAACTCGTTCGTTTTCCTCCTTTCAGTTTCTGATCTCCTAGTATTTGCTACCCACGCGACGGCGAATGAAAACTTTGAGACATGGCGCCAGTCCTGCCAATTCCTTTGACGCGGTAGTCGCCTACTCCGCATCCTGGCGTAACGCGTGTCTCTGCAGTATATATAATTTTTTTTACGACCATTCGTCTTGTGCAAAAATATTTACTCGCACGGTTTTACCCACCCACGCACAGAGTGCGTATGCGATACGTACAATGCGTGAGTGGATAAACAGTGGTCGAGCGATTGAGCAGATGAGAAACAAGAATGAGGAAATTGTCAATGAGAAAGGGATCATTCGGAGTGGATTAAAAGACTGCGTTCAACGACAGTTTTTATATGTAAAAGAAAAGTAAGAAATGGACTGGAACCGCAGGAACAGTAAAATAGAGACTCAATATTCTGTCAAGGATTCCATTGCTGTTATCGTTATTATAACTTTCGCGTACACTAGATTATTTATAAATTTTCTAATCGAATATTTGTAGATAATTTTATTTATATTCTGTATAAAACAATAAAAAGAAAGAAACAAACACACGAACACAATACTCGTACCATATGTAATGCGTATGAAAAGAAATGCAAGAATATGGGATATATGTATAGCGAGACTCGTACGAATAATAAGAAGGGGGGGATGTATATATACAGGGTGGCGAAAAATTCTCTAACAACGAGTATCTATCGTGCTATTTCATCAAGACTTCAAAGTGACACTCCACGAATGCTATGTTGCTTCGGTCTATATGTTTCTGTACCTAATTTCAAATTTTTTTTTACTTTTCTTCTCCCACCAACCTTCCTTGCACTCCCTTTACTCTTCGTTCGGCCATTTGCTTCTTTTCTCCGTCTATACACTCGTGGCGTAAATATTTAATTAATAGGAAGGGGCTGCCTGTGTCGCTTGAAAGCGATGCCCTGCGTCTCTTGGTCTACCCGACTCGACACAGCAGCCAATTGCGAATCATATGTCTGTCACTCTGTGAAGGAAAGAAAATTCCAAAAGGATTACAATAACATTGCTGATGCTGATGCTGGTCCTGGCACAGCATCCTGAAGCGTACCGATGAGTCTTATGTGAGCGAGAGACACAGGTTGATATTTTGAATGGAAATAAAAATATTTGATCCAAGGCAAGCATTACGTACTGTTAATGAATAATAATAATAATCGATTGGCAATGATAAAGTAACAAAGGACCTTTTTTCCTCTTAATGGGACACTGTGGCCACCCTGTGATAGGATTTGATCTTGAAATGGATAGAGGGACTATGATCTGACCTCTGATGTAAAGGTGAGATGGTTTAAGGTTACATATATAAATTGAATTTAGATGAGAGGACACGAGGTGGATGTCGAGGAGAAACCAGTTCTACTAGGGATCACGTCTGTGAGAAACATAGTGCCTTTATAGCGTTCACTGTTAATTAAATTAGTGATTAATGCGAGATGATTAACGATATACTATATTGTTGTTATTAATAATAATGCGCCCTCTTTTTTTTTTCTTTTTCTTTCTCTCGTCATTATTGGTAACGACGATCTCGTTTCGGGGCACGTGGTCGTCTACGCGATGGACAAAAAAGAAATTACTTCGTAATGATCATGCTAATTGATTGCTACGCTATAGTACGTACGTTTAGTGTCTTCTTTTATTTTTCTTCCTTTACTTACAGACGAGCTTATTTTTTTATTTTCTCACTCGTCTCTTTCACATCGCGTGTAATTCTATTGAGTCTTATGGACGTAAACGGCATGTATTGTAACGTGAGTAGGAAAATTGTTTAATCTTCAATTTTTTCATTCTTATCAAGATTTACCCACTTGAACGTCTCTACGGATAAGCAGAGACATTTCTGGCTATTAATTTATCGAGCGAATCAAGATCTGGTAATGTTTTGGGCTTGTACAATATGTTATTTTTTGTAACTAATCAGGTACTTGGAGTCTCGTGTTATCGTTAATCAAAATTATGTAATTTTTATTGGAGACGAGAACGTTACCAATAGTGACAAATCATAGCGAAAGTTGGCGCTTGGAAAATTAAAGAGGTTGTCCCCTATGGTTGCAATACATTTTTCTAGCTTCTTTATGAAAATATGTGTAAAGGGAACGCGGTGCTTGAAATTGACAGGAATACTCTGTTTTTTTTTTAATTTTTTTTCAAAACTAATAATATCGTACAACGCTCCAGTACTCGTAACACGAAATTCTTCAGGCAATTTGCAAAATTTACGTTTGGGATTCGACCCGGGTTTTTCTTGCGAAACTGCCTTTGGCTCAGTTCACAAGGAATTTTTTACTGGAGCCAAGGACAGTCGAATGCGTTAATTAAGACAGTACTGATTAGCTGATCGTCTCGTCCTTCAACCCTTGAGGCGAACTGACACGCAAAGAAATGTTGATTCCCACATTAATTTAGACCGAGGATACTATAAATCATATTTGTATAGATAATACAACAATCAGCGAATTATCTCGGCATTTTCAGAAGCTGCTAATCGCCTACGTAACGAATTTTTAATCAAAACGAGTCCCCATCAGAGCAGTATAAACGGCAATTCGTAATATATTTGAACGACTTAAAATTCGGATCTATGCAATTCGTTTCTTTTGTGAGAAAGTTTCAAAATTTAATTTTACGTACGTGCTTTTTTAATCTGCATACGGCGAACGATTTGTAGACTTTTTTTGTACACTATCTGCGGACGAACTCGTTAATCGAACCGATCAAAGGTACTATTAATTAATTATTTGATCGATTCGTGCACTCGTTTCATGTTATTACATTTTTGTTTATCTAGATTGCTTTAAATTTTTTTTTATATTCATTTTGTTATCAGTGTACTTTTTTTGCCTTTTCATCGGTACTTTTGATATTTATATTTCAACGAACTCGTAACCGTCCAAAAAATTTAACCTGCCAAATAAGAACTGAGCATGACTACAAAAAAAAACTTGGAATCGAGCACCGCGATTCCTTTTCAAGTCACATGCAATAATTACACGGACTTAATAATATAGTCCGAGCGAATGACACGTGAAAAATAACGGAAGGAATAAGTAGGAAGACTCGACTGTATATATTGTAAATAATATAAACGCGCGCAACGCATATTACATTGTATGTATATATTATTATATTAATGAATAATGATAGGCTCTAGTAACGATACTATTAATAAATAATAAATAATTGTAGGTATCTCCCGAGGACTTATATTATTTTAAATATCATTGTATTCAATTCCAAATGAATAACACACTCAAGTGATGTATCGAAGATCAAGGGAAGCCTCTTCTTTCATTTTTACGAAAAATATATGAAATTACAAATTTGTATAATGCGTACGCTTTCTTTCACCTAATTTAACTTATCCATTTTTCTAACGATCTAATATGTCATGTACAAAGTAAATGGCCGTGCGAAGACGACGACGGCGACGGGACTGAAATAAAATCATCTCGCTCGTGATCTCGTACGCTGATCGTATTGAACTTGGTGGCAATGGATTCAGAACCTTCAATTCCTATAGTGAATGTATCAATAACTTTTTCTCATATATAGCGGTTCATAAGATATTTGATTTCAAATACAGGCGTCAGAATTGACTCGAGTAGTCTTGGCGGTCCGTGCCCTGTACAGCCGGTTGCCTGTATTTGGCGCCAGTCTCGACCGACAGAATTTACAAGAATCACTCCATTGGAAATTCCAACGGAAATCAGACTTTTTACAATAAAAATATTTATTCGTTAAAAACAATGCAAAGACTGAAATGTCTATCGAGGATATTCTGCGTTATCAAACAGAAGGCTTGTTCACGTCAAAAATGACCATGTAACATGATCGTGGTTATCCGAGCAATAGTTACAAGTGAGTACGTATGTATAACGAAGGAAAACGGAAGTTTAGTGTTTACCAAAGAAAAGTACTCGCGCCTGAGAGTTCCACTTGTAAATCAAGGCATTGGATTTCTTCAGCACAGGAAGAGGAAGCGGAATGAGTAATCGAGACAAGACAACAGAGAGAAAAACATTATGATTTTTATTGAAGAATGCAACATCTTAATTCTACATAGGAACGAGTATGAAATCGTGTACTTCATATGTTACTGCGTGGCAAAGCTTGCGGATATGTTTTTAGTTTTATGATAACATAATCATTGTTCTTCAGAATATCTATATACAAATTAGTACTACCGAAATATGAAATCAGCCATGTGAGAACTGATTATTCGAGTATATGTAAAATATGTAGAAAATTGTTTAAATAACAGGTCGGCATTGTATACCTGGTAGAGTTTACAATGTTTCTTGGCAATTCATACTATTTTTAGTGTGTTGCATATATATCTACTAAGCCAGTACGTTTCTATTGTCTTGGTCTAGTTTGCTTGTTACAGTCGATAATGGAAGTAGAAATCCGAGTAGACCGCCAACTGGAAATAAAAATGTTCGGTTGGTATGAAGTTTAATTTTATCGTCGGTATAAAAGGGATCGGTAATATCCTTGCAGTACTTACGAATGATTATACCACCGACTAGAAAGATGGGTACTTCACAGCTGATATCGAGCAGTAAACCGAAAATAAGATTACTCGCAATGGCTCCTAACCTTCCGAAACAAGTTACAAGGCAAATGGCGATGGCACCAATTTCCGTAGGGAATATATCAACCACCACGCTATTCAGGACTATATTCGCTGTTGTTATACATAGAGAATAGAGGCAGGCAACTATAAGATTTTGTGAAGCAGATCTTACTAGATAGATAGCACAGCCAAAAACTCCAGCCAGAAGCATAGTCGTTACTGAAATGTTAAAGGAGCTATCACATATTTGTCCAAGCCCAAAAGTCTATTCAGTAAACAGAATCATAAGGGATTATTACCTGGCATCGTCCGTCGGCCAACCCGATCCGATAGATAACCGGCAATAAAATTACCAAGTAGACAAACTGAATTAATTGTTAAAGTATTAATAAAAACTCTCTCGTCAATGCTACCTGTACAGATTACAGGCAAGGCTGGAATTGTTTCGAGCAGTAAATCGTGGTTAGACGTATTTCCGTTTATGGTACTGATTATCGCTTGTGCTAAAGGTCGATCGACTTCTGTATTGGATATTAATTCGCAAACGGCAACCGACTTGTTCGGATGGAGTTTGTAATAAGTTTCAAACCTGTTGAACAGTTCAGGCAACCACAGTCCTAAGCCGAAGTATCTGAAATCAGTAAAAGAGCTTGATTTCCTTATCGTTGGGCTATCGTATGAAAACCAGAAACGCGTCACGAAGAAGTCAGAAGATTAATGGAACGGTGCGTTTACATACCCAAACATATTCGCAAAATATATCGTACAGCAGAGAATGGAATATTTTAATAAAGGAGGGGACGTGATGGCACAGATTTGTTGCCAAATTTTTGTCAGCAAACTCGACAGGACTCCTAATGAACCAACGGGTTCTTCCTTTTTGTGGCTATGTTTTTCATCCACCAATAGCGCATTAACCTGTAACAGTTTATAGGTTAGGAATTAAATTAATTATGGAATAATTATCGATTCAATGTTCCTTATTGATACACACAGGATAGTCGTGCTGACTATGACCAGTATTAATGGCATAAATTTCTCGTAGAACCTTCAGTGCTTCCTCCGGCTTTCCTCGGGATAGCAAAAATTCCGGACTCTCGGGATATCGCATCCCAATCAGAGCCACCACGAAGGTAGGTATGGCAATTACAGCCAAAAACAGTCTCCAAGAATTAAAGAGAATTCCATACCCTTCGAATCTGAATGGAAGTGGTATTAATATCCAGGCCAAACCTGCAGAATTACGGAAACACCAAAAAACATTAATAATAAAACTCTTATAGCAAACTAATAATATAGATACCTGGTAGTATTAACCATGAGACAGTCCAAAAGAATCCTAAATAACAAACGCTCTTAGACCTCCGTTTTTCATTATGAAATTCACCCACGTATGTGTATACTAATGCACCGGGACATCCGATCCTAGAATAAAAATAACGAGTAAACTATAAAATGTCAATTATTATATTTGAATAAGCCATTTGAATGTCCAGGAACTCACGTAAAGCCGTTTATAGCACGAAAGACAAGTAGGACCTTAAAGCTTTGAGAGAAACTCCCAATAAACATAACAATACTATCCATAAGTAGACTTCCGACAAGCAAGTTCTTTCTGCCATATGCATCAGACAGGACACCCCAGAGTATAGAACCCAGCACCCCACCTTGAACGAAATGAAAAGAAAAAAATAAACAGTAATAGACAGTGCCGTGAAATCAAACCTTCCCGTCTGGAATACTCATGTGCCTGACAGATAAATCCTAACCACAAAAAGTGACAAAAAGGTAAACGCACCCAGAAGGAAAGCCACATTTAGCAATCCCTTTTCCTCGGAAGTAAGTCTCAGGTCGCATTCCGCCGATGGCAAGATGTACGCGCTAACTCCATTCTGGAAACCCACGCAGACAAGGATCATTCCGCATAGCAGCACGAACCCATAATGAAATCTTCCATAACCTGCACAGTGCAAGATTAGAGTAGATATAAACATGTTTCGAATTATAGGGGATACGATTAGGTTATCGGAAGTCAGAGAATTGCCAGGAGGACACGTAGCAGCCATTGCAAACGAAACGGCGAGGACGTGTTAAAAAGGAACTGAGACAAACTCACCGCAGAGACTTATCGCCTTTTCAAAATTCGCGCGCTCGTCTGTTGGCCTGTCGATCTTCTCTGAAAAATAAATGAAAATATAACAGACGCAGCGTGGAGCATTGAAACGAATATCAGTGAGCGTCATCTAGGGTGCTAACCGGATCCTGATTCACGAGTATGCACGGCCATGATTAAGATGAGAGTCAATGTCGGAAGCTGGAGTAGGACTATCGGTGCAATTACGTGGGTTGCGAAATTTATACCTTCTACGAAGCCAGGCAAATTGTGGATACCCTCGAACTTGACTCGACGATGACGTGAGGCCGTAATGGAAACGGGGCATTGTTCGACAGGTGCATATACCTTCATATTGCATTGTCAAGGTCATTTGACACGCGATGTATCAATTGTATTAAATGTATCGTTACATTCTGGATCATATGTATCCTGCATGGCAATTATCACTAGAATAATCGAGATAGGTGTACTACGTATGAAGTCATTGACGAGCCATATTCTTGGCAATGATGATAAAGAAATTTCGTGGATCTCCTTTACTTGGTGTTACGATTAATTGTAGAAACTGCGTATATTAAGTTTCATATATGGAAATATGAAAATTATTTTACAATAGCTTAGATGCAATTTAGATATTATTTTCAGGCGTATAATCGTGGTTGTAAATTGTGTAAGTATATGCAGTATATGCATATGGGTGCCTCGTCAGGGTCGGAGCCCCCTTCCTGGACTATTAGCGTCTCCTAGAAAATACCATGTAGTAAAATTCGAGGGAATATTCCACATTTCTTATCGCTGGGCTGTAACAGCGCGTCAACAATCGACCGATAAATTCACGCGTTACTACGATGGAAATTGCCTTGATACTGTGAGCTACGATTATTTTGCGTAGCGCACCTCCCATAGGGAATCGCCGTTGCATCAGGATGCATCGATTGGGCCACGTCGTAAAGTGTTGTGTTATATTCTGTTATGTTTTTGATAAACGAGCATGAAACGTACACGTTGATTTCAGAATAATGCGCTTATGAGTTTTATGGCAATCACCAATAAAGTACAGAGAGAAATTAATTTTTTTTTTTTAAGAAACTATTCAATTTTCCTTTCGTTTTTCATTCTCTTAACATAAATTATACCGGGCGTAATTTTCGAATTTTCTTTGTACGCTTGGTGAAAACTATTTGAGTGCGGTGGAGTTTGTATTCCTAAGGTGTCTTTTGATGCATATCTACTGGAAAGTTTTCAATGAGATCTTGCGAATCATTCAAAACATGTCGACTTCACGTCAGCGATCAATGACCAAATTACTAATGGCACGTGTACGAATATATGAACCAAGGAGTATCCTATTGACTGAGATAAAACTGCTTTTTGAACCTTTTTTTAAAACTTTTTTTCACTGTGCTTTATGTCAGATTCTCATATATTCAAAAATCAATTAGTATGGTATTGTTTAACACTGTACTGTTGGAAGAAATAATTTTTCAAATTAACAATTGAATCCTATTTTCAGGCGGATTGTGACATTATGTCAATAAATTATAATAGAAATTCCAATTCAATCACTGTATGTCCAGCACGTGCTTTAAACTACCACTTTGATTACTATGCAATCAATGTTACTGGTTAACGAGGTGCATGATTCGTTTAACGCGACTTGGAGAAATGATCCTGTAAGAATAAAGTTATAAATATGTCAATATGTAAAGAAACATATGTCAATTCGTATTATTAATAAAAAAAAATATTATGTAACTGACAATAAAAGTAATGAAAAACTCACCCACAGTAAATGGACTAGGATGTAGTTTGTGAACCATCTCTGCCAAATTTCCCGGAAGTTCTGTAGCCTTCTCAGGATTCCTTAGGTCACCAGAGTGTCGATCACTCCAGGCGAATCTCGAGTGATCGCTCCTCAGGTTCGCCTAAGACGGACACACCGACGCAAGTCAGTAAACATCGGTTAAATATTTTGTCATGCGCGAACCTAAACCGAACGGCTCAATGTGTAAGAGTTTGAAGATCCTCTACCGTATATATATTAAAATATATATATTAAAACTCCTTTTTCAGTAAGAAGTTTGGCTACTGTATACACGTGAGCAGGTATTTTGTCAAATAAAAAATTTGTTATCTGTTAAGCAACCAAATGTAGATATAGGGTAATATCCATGTATGTGACGATACAGTCTGTGAAAAAAAAAAGGTATAATTTAACAAGACTTTCTTGATAAGATTAAACACTTACATAATTCTTTGCATATTATTCCAGCATTTCTCTTTTACTATGACTCTATTGCCGATTTAAAATTACATATACACATAAAATTACATATCAAGGATTTGATACCCTTGAATTAAGATCCCTCACCGTTTTTCCAAGAGGGAGTAATGGAGTGGCGCTGTTCATATTTCCAAAATCGTACGGTGTACAATCCTTGTATTCCTTGGTAGCCCATCGGACTTTTATTTCTTGTAAAAAACTAGTCAAGATACCCTCCATTGAAACTCTAATTTTTACAATGGGCACCGAACACTCCGATACTCGTAGACTGAAAGTATCTTCGACAGGTTAGATACAATGGGATTCCGTGTACCACTAAGACAAATCCCATAATCTGACAATAAGTCTCATGTGTGACGCTGCAGGTTATCATATATTATATCCATCAGGTTGCTTTATCCGGTCCATATGTTCGTTAATGAAACTTCTGTGCGGAACGAGCGTCGTGAATAAAAATGAGGGAGCCGAGGACAAGAATGTCGACAAACGCTTAGCTTGCTGAATGCAACGCGTGTCGTTGATTCCAGAGCGTTGACGTCACTTGAAGAACTTGGAACGCTTCTCAATGCAATTGGGTCGATTTTTCTGTCTCCTACAATGTAGTTTGCAAATCAGACAAAAATTCTACCAAACGTGGCATCTATGCAAGAATTAATTTTCTATTCTCTACTTAGAGTAAGATATTTGAAACGGTTCGTCAATCATTACTGTTTTTTTACTTGTCTAATTTTTTGAATTGGAGATCAATTGCATAAATATTTGTAACAATTATTATCTAGAGTGCTTATAAGCATATTGCGTCCTGTACAAGTGTGTAAACAGTACTTTCCGCTGATAGAAAAGTGGCCACTTTCGTCTTTTTTTTTCTGACGTTACCTCTAAACGTTATGTTTATAATGATGTTTGTCATGGGCGGGGTCGGCGGGGTCCATCATTGACAGGCTCATTGACCTGCGAATTACAAATGAATCGATATACCAATCATACGCAGTAAAAATAATATGACCAAGGTTATTACAAATGTAAAATTCTTTTTGCTACCTTGCACGATCTCATTCTCAATGGTTACATATGCATATATGATTGATTTTTAACTTGGCTTATGTTGGGAAATTCAAAATTGCATCAACCGTACTGGTTGCGGAATCATTGAAATTGATTTTTCACGCGTCTCATGGGCCTGAAGATACAGAAATCATTTTTTGGGCGATAATGTGGCGCCATACAACAGGGATTCGTTGAAGTTTATATAGACATTAATACCGTCACTGGCTTACCGATATATCGTTTAAAGTGGTGTCGATAACATTTTTAAACTTTCAATTTATCCTCAATTGTCTATCCTGTACAATCATTTTGAATTAATACGATCTTAATGGCGATGAGATTATTTCTAAAATTGGTAAAGATAATTTTTTTTCAATACATTTAATTCTTCTTCTGAATAACGCAGTTATGTACGTGTTGTGTACAACATGGCTGATTACCGTGTTAGAATAATTAAATAAAATGCATACGGATTTTAAAACGACTTACTGTTAAAGCCTTGAAAATGGGAAATTGCATTCGTTCTGCATTCAAAAAATTACGAAGGAAACGACGCGTAGAAAAGTAAGGTTATTAATTTTGGCCTAAATATTAGCAGACTCATGTTTATGTTATTTTCAGGAACATCGTTCTACTTTTAGTGGGTCTTGATAACGCAGGAAAAACACTAGTTTTAAATCGTATCGCTGGAAGTATGAAATATTTGATTATAAAGTTTAATTATCTCTTTGTCGTTACATTAATTCCATGGTTACATTCTTATTAATTTTTCTTTTCTCCAGATGATGATCAGCATGTTCTCCCTACTATGGGTTTTCGAACAGTTTCATTGAAATATAAAAGATATCATGTAAAAATTTATGATCTTGGTGGTAGCCCCCAAATAAGATCAATATGGCCAAAATATTACAGTGATGTAAGTACAATAATATAATAGAATTAAATATGATAATAATTTTTAAGATTTTACAGGTACTAATAATTCTCTCAAGCACAAAGACAATATTTTATATGTTTAGAAATCATTGATTGTATATTAAAAATATTTTAGGTACATGGTCTTATATATGTGGTGGATGCTAGCGACATTTCTCGCCTTACAGAAAATAGAGTAATACTTGGAGAATTAATCTCACATGAAAATATATCGGGAAAACCGTTATTATTGTGAGAATATTCATTATTTATATATAAACATGCACAATCGTCTTTTATCTGCACTATGCCTCAATGTTTTATGCACCTGCATATATTCATATTAATATATATTAATGGTCCTAACCATAAAATGCAGTGCATTACTTGTCCATATAACTTTAATAAATAAAGCATCTTTGTGTATTATAGACTGGCGAATAAACAAGATTTGAATGGAGCCATTGATGAACTTGACCTCGTTGAAAATTTGGATATAGAACGTATAGCGAATGCTATGCGATGTCCCACACGAGTGGAAACTTGTTCCTGTTTCTATCCTGTCTCGAAATCCGAAATTAGAACACAAGGAATAATTAACGGTTATAAGTATGAAATGATAAATTATATTATTTTTATAAAATTATGACCTGAATTAGATTCATAGTTGTTTATTATGTTTTATAGGTGGCTATTGGACACAGTCTTAAAGAACTACACATTTTTGAATAGTCGGATAAAGGAACAAGTACATACCAATGGAGCGGCTAAAAAATCTGCAGATTCAAATCTGGATACAATATCTAATTATTCTACACATTCTGATCCATTTAAACCTATACATGAGCTACTCTTATGCAAGGTATGAGTTTCGAAGATGATAATGTATTATGAAGTTGCTGCATTATAATTTCGTTTAAAATCTCTTTCGTCCTCTTGTTTAGGAATCTTCCACATCATCAGTTAACGTTCAAAGTGGTATGTATAGCATGTATTCATATTGCTATAGGTATGATATAAATTCTAGTAAAATGGGTTTTATGTAATATTTTCAGAAGTTAGTAAGGGGAAGTCATCATTAAAGAAATTGTTTAATTATACTAATAAAACTGCACCGCTCGCGCTTGGATATCAGATGAGCGTCTCTCAAAGTGCCCTCCATCGTACAGAATGCAATACTACACTCTTTCAAGTACAAAGTTTTAATCAGGAGAACGTAACGATTTTGGATCCACGAAAATTGGATCTAAAAGAAAATGGAAGCAGATCTAAGCGTGATAGACCGTATACAGCACCGCAAAGCTTCCAAAGAGATTTGAGTCGAGAAACAGTCCTCGCAATGCCCGGACAAGTGCCTACGTAATAAAAATGACTTGCTCAATACACAATAGAGCGAAGAGAACTTTCCGTGAGAAATATTTTATAACGTTTAATGTTAATCTGAGACTCAGTTTTGTGACTTCACATATATCCATTCAATGTTATGCATATAAAATAATTTTTGGTTAATGGATGCGATTCCAGAAAAAGATTAGCGTCTTTCAAACCTATATTTTCTACTATATCTTGTATTACAAATATACACGTATGTATGTAAATAAATTATTTTTTATCCAGTTCAATAAATTGAAGTCTCATTTATTTTTACCTTCGATTCGCATTTGCAAATCTAAAAAAAGTTTCATGAACTCTGGTTTTGAAATTATAAAAAAATTTAATCATACATAGGATTGCATTTCACATATATATATTATAATTATCTTGTAAATTTCCATACAAATTTATATAAAAATGTATTAAGTAGGGAGTACAAAAGTTCGTGCACAAAATACATAATAAATTGTATGTGTCGTTGAATTTTTCTGGCACATTGAAAATTAAAAATAGGATTATCGTTTAGAAACTTGCGATTCAATTAATGCAATATCAGGCACTGTATACTGTTGTCGACATGATTTTCTTATTTAAATAATTGCTTTTTACTTCCCATAAAAAAAATCAAATACTTTTGTAAATTTCAGTACAAAAAATGAGCAAATGTATAAGGGCGTAAAGTATATACGCCTTTAAGTTTCAAAAAGTCATCGTACATTAAATATCACACTGTGCGCTTATTATCACGTAATTCTCTTACCATATACATATATATTTATATAAATGTTATTTGTATCACTTTGGAAACATTGATCAGAGCCAAATTGCATTTTTTTAATCTTCTAACATTTATAGGCTCTTTGAATATTTGTAATAAAACCATTCAGCAAAATGAAGCTAACGATACATCAAAATCAATTTTACATGTTATTTAAATTTGTAGAATTTTCTACGTCTACAACATATTTCTTTCCTTTGGGCGACAGTGCGAATAACATTAATTGTAGGACATATAAGAAGATGGTTATTATGGAATCATCTCTGTTAATACTTGCACTGTTTTGAAGTAATATTTTAACTTAAATACTAAAAAATGCAGTTTTTCTTTGTGTATTCCGAGTTACTGAGCATACCGTAAAGGAGTATACCTATCAAGTTATAATAATGAATATTTACCATGAACTTAATAATAAAAAAATGATTGTGTAGCATAAATGCAATCATTAGGATATGGTAAAAACGTCACCGATTACAACACAACCTAATTGTATATTAATTATTAGTTTCTACAATAACGAAAAAATTATTTCAGATCAGTTTTACATCTTTTTTCATGGAAAGCTATAGTCCATTGCAACATCACCCTCATTGCACGAAAAAGATAATATAAAAGTAAAAAAAAAGGCGAATTACTGTATCACTCCTGAAAATGCATAGGTGCTATAAAAAAAATCTTCTCAGTCAGTGCGAGTATAACTAAAATAGAAACTTGAACCTTGATTTACGATCTGCTAAGTAACACAAAGGTGGGTTTATACACCATAGCTTATCTGAGCATATAAATCCACTGCATTATTGAAAACTAGTACAGTCGCTAATCGGTACTAAATTCATTTAATCAAGGGTAACTTAAGATACACTTTATGTGCAATCTGCAAAAATTACTTCGCGTTAAGAGAAAACACGCTCATGAAAATATGATAGACGCAATTATCGCGTAACAAGATACGTTAATTAATCATCGGTGTCTATAATCCATTTATATCGATTGAAAATAAAGCTGACTATGAAACTTTGCCATTCACTGGAGTGAATCTTACTAGACGTGTCAACATCGAAGTAATGCAAGGAATTTGCTTCTGTTGATGCATTGTGATATTATCCGGAGTATTCGATTCATAATCAAGAGCAACTCTTTGGCATACAAATGTTAACAAAGTAAGTATATCATAACGCGTACCATTTTCACGTAATTCTGCACACAATGCCTGCATGAACCATGAACCACGACAGGTATTCCTCCAGGAATAATACCCTGGTATGGTGGAATAAGCAATCAGAAAATCTGCATGCATAGGAATACGGTAGGAAGCAGCTGGTTGGCCATCAGTTTCTGTACGTTCTTTTAGAGTGAAACCACCATCCAGTTTATCACCTTGACAAGCCTGAATGAAAAACAGTTTGGGCTTGCCAGCAAGAGTACGACACTTATCAGCAGTGAAGTATGACCAGATTGCTTCAGTTTTATAAGGAGTATCGTGAGCATAAAGAATACCAAGTTCTCCATGACTCAATACAGATACTACAAGACAATCATGTTGAGAATGATCCATATCAGCCACTGTAAGTTGGTAATAACATAGGTTGATACAAAAATTTCTATTTTGTTTTGTTATTCATACATTTTATAATATTTACCTCTTTCTAGGTTTTTTATCACATCGCCATGAGTCAAATTGTGATAATCCATCACATCAAATCCAAGATCCTTCAGAACATTAATCAAATTGTCACAGTCAACATTTGTACCACATCTTTGTTTCAAATTGTTTGTAGTAAAAAATTCATGATTGAAGATTAAAGCGAGACCACGCTTGGAATGACTCATATTGTAATAAGCATCATAGCGTGCTGTTGGTGAGGTTGGTAAGGGTCCTACCATGGGACTGATACTGTTTCTATAGAGAAAAAGTAATAAGATTAATAAGCATCTTATTAAAATAATATTAAACTAACTTGACCACGGATTATCTCTTTTTTTTAATATTGGAACAAAGTACTGCCATGTACAAATTAATAAATTACTTACAATACATTAAGAGACATACTGATTATTCAATGACAACAGCGCAATAACTTAATTACAAATTGTTACTGATTCATTATTCCCTATTTGGTCCTAATATCAAGGAAATATCTTATCTTATCAAGTGCATTCGAAAATATGCATCAATAATAAAGGCTAGCTAAAACATTAGTGAATCACTTATTTTTCCAATGTGCTTATCGTTCTTTTATAAATTAACAGCTATCTAAAAAGCACAGCATATCGATAATGAAGCAAGATATTGATAATGTACCTTCCACATCCAAATGCATCGCCAGTATCAGCATCTTTGTCCTCGTCGGAGTAATTGTTCCCTCCGTTATTCATCGTTGAACACATAAAGCGATGCGCGTAATAAGCTTCACTAAGATTGAATGAAACTATTCAGATAATTTAATGGAACACGGTGATGAAAGAAATAATGTTAAAACATGAAGAGACTTGCACAGACTTCTATGTATGTACTACTAGACTGCAGCTGACTGTAGCATAATGTTATGGCGCGGATGCTGAGGAAGCCGGAGATGTTTAGTTACACTACGCCTACTTTTGATTGGCTACTGTGTGGAGCAAGTGCAGTAAAGTGCTGTGTGACGTATTTCCAGAGCTATCCTATAGATGTGTTCTAAAGTAAGCCAAGAGCGGTAAGAGCATCGTTGTGTCTCGTTCCAATGCATTTAATAAACAGAGAAACAATGCGGCTTTCACCGTTCATGGCTCATTTTCGAACACACCTGAAGTGCTCTGGATCATTTCAAATGCTAGAGCGAACAGACCTAGAATCGATCAACGAGAGGTATATCAATTTTAAAATTGTCAATGATTAATGTGCTGTCAAAAAAGGGTTTAGAACATATACAACTTTGAAAATATTAAAATGGAAATGTATATTTTCCATCCTTGTAGCACTTATGTTTTTATAGTGTTATTACTCTGTATACTTAGATAAATTTATCAGTCCAGGAAGAGGAGAGATAGCGTATAAGTTGTAGATGACAGTTGTGGCAAGTTTATTATTTAAGAATTAAACTATTGATATTTGCTTTTATGCAATGAATTTTTATTGGTTTTATTATAATTGTTTATTCAACAATGCATCATAAAACATATTCAATGATTTTAATGGTAGCAGCATCTGGTGTTATACTTACAATATTTCAGGTATAATGAATATGTGTTGGAAAATAATTTTGGTATCATCTGAACATATATTTTCTTGTTTTTATAGTTTTGGTTGAGTTCTTATTATGATACAGCATTATTGCCTCATGGTAAACTACATAAATATTAATTTTCAAATAATTTCCTAATATCTACAAATAGAATGTAAAATAATTTTCATAGACGTAAAAGATCCAGTAGTCTTATGGTGGTCACCATTTGTTGGAGATGAAAATCGCTTAAGTACTTGCGAGGATGTTCAATGCTACTTTACACAAAACAAATCATTTACATCTCATTTATTACTCAAGGTATTAATTTAATTTAATTTTGTAGTAAATAATTACGTTTTAAATATCTGACATTCTATGATTTCATTACTTTTAGGCAATACTTTTTTATGGAAGCAATTTTAATGTTGCTGATTTACCATTACCAAGATCAAGAAATGTTACTTGGGGATTAATTCATGAAGAATCTCCGAGAAACAATCCAATACTCGTTCATGATGATGCGTTGAATTTATTCAATTATTCAGCAACTTTCAGTCGTTATAGTGACGTACCATTGACTTTAGTTGATTTGCCAGGTGAAGAAGAATTAACAGGTATATATCACTAATAGAATGTATTCATAATACTGACAAATGTTTATAAAGTGTAACACCAGGTACTATGTGCAGACACATCATACCTTGTACCATTTAAGGAGAAGTCTGAGTTGGTGTATAAAAATAGTCTCGCTCCTGTCCTATATATTCAATCGGACTGTGATACAGCAAGTGATAGAGATTCATATGTAGCTGAATTAATGAAATATATACAAGTCGATTCGTATGGACCTTGTTTAAACAATCGGCCGTTGGTGGAAAGGTAAATATATCCCATTTAATCAACATAAATTTTTCATAGTGTGTTATCTCTTTAGCCTCAAGGATAATCATATGGAAACATTAATGAGTAAAGAATTCCTATCATTTGTGGCAAAATACAAATTCACACTGGCTTTCGAAAATGCCGTTTGCAATGACTACATCACAGAGAAACTTTGGCGGCCACTGATCGTTGGATCTATCCCAGTTTACTATGGTTCGCCAACTTTCAAAGTATGTACTAATAAATTGAAAATAGACTCAAGATTCTTATTGAATAAATCCTAGCAGAATATCTACTTGTAGGATTGGCTCCCCAACAATCAATCAGCGATATCAGTTCTGGATTTTAAAAACCCTAAAGATTTAGCAGCTTTTTTACTCAAGCTTGCCAATAACGAAGCAGATTACCAGGAATACTTAAATCACAAGTTACTTGATAGAGATAATAGAATAACGAATGATCGCTTATTAAAAGCACTACAAAGCAGACCAAAAGGTTATGCAAATGATTTTGGAAATTATGTACAAGCTTTTGAGTGCTTCGTATGTAGAAAAGTGCATAATTCTCAAAGAAGCTTAATGACAAGCAAACAATATTCATGTCCGCTACCTACAAATCCTTTGACAGGAAAAATAAATCACGGGAACGTCTGGGTAGACCAATGGAATATTGAAAAATGTGGTGCCAAATTACTTGCTCATTTTGTATCAAATAATAAAAGTATTGATATTAAACAATTCAATAATGAACAATTTCGTATGTATAATAAAGCAGAGTGCTAATATACGTTTATTTATAGTTAATATTTTAAAAAACAAAAATTCAAAAAATCGACAGTACTACATGTTAAAATATTACTCATTGATGTTATTAGTATATTTTATTCAATAAAAACATGAGAATATCGCAGAGATTTATCTTACATATATAAAAATTTCTTTTATTATACGATGCATAGCAAATTCTTGATTCGTTTAATGTAAAAAATGAAGGGACTTATCTAAAGTTAGCCTTTAAATATATTAATGATTTTACGTGTAACTGGAATTTCGTTAGTTCGCTCCCTTCTTTTGTATAATAGGAGCTGGTACTTTCATCAGTTCACAAAGATGATTTCTGATCGGACGCAATTCTGTAACTGGTTGTTCCCAATCAGTCGCGTTTAGTTCAGTTAAAAGATTGCCAAGTTCCTCCTCAGTCAAATCCATATCTTCTCCGTATAACGTCAACGCTTCATAAGTACGAACAGCAGTAACTTTTCTTATGCATTTATATTTATTACAGAGGAATATACTAAGCTGAATAAATGCTTTCTTGCCAACAGGGCCTCGGACCTAAAAAAAATATTAACCACTCAGAATCCAGAATCAATTTTAGTTATGCATACCAAGAATAAAGTTTCATGAAAGAACGTACTTGTAACAGTTGACAAAAAACTTCTATGCTGCTGGTCAAAAGTTTTGTGCTGCTAATAAATTTGAGCTCTCGTTTTAATAACGTCAGCATACGCTGCGGAATCTCACTATCAGGGTCAGTAAGAATCGACTGAATGCAACCTGAGCTCATCAATCTATCGAGGAATGCGAGCATCGAGGTGATCATTCGGTCATTTTTATGACTCTCCTCAAAGATGTCCAATATTTTGTTACACAGTTCTGTTGATGTCTTTTCGTCGAGTTCATTCAAATACGAGAATAAGGATACACTCGAATGTTTTACCTGGATACAAGAGGATTCAGATGATTCGCAATGCCTAATTATTTACAAATACTCAACTTACCAATGATTCACTCAAGCCGCCGACACTGAATATAATTCCTCGTAGAAGTGCAATAGTATAAGGTGGGAATGTCAGCATTTTTATAAATTTTGGGAAAGTAGCTGATTCTAATTTCCAATCCATACTGTCTTTGCATTCCTCTGCAGGAAATATAGTCTTCAATTCTGCATGATATGGAATATTTGGAAGTTCCGGATCACTGTTAAGAAAAGCATGGATAAAAATTGAAGAACCATCCATAATGATTTTGGCTGTTTTCATTTGATTATACCTATGTATAAGGGCACTAAATACAGTTCCAGCTTGTGCTCGAATTCTGTCAATTCTTTCTATAGCTTGCTGCGCAACACCGCCCACAATACTTGCCATTAGAGTTTGGTTCAACAACGACGAAAGATTCGCATGGGATACTAAATTCGTTAATAACTGTAGCAAAGAATATAATTAATTTTTATAAACTCTATTAAATGTCGGAAATAATATCAAATCATACATGTAAACCGGACATAGCAGCTGCTCTAACCCAAGCTCCAATATCACCTCGACTATCAGTTGTGTATTCCTTAAGAGCTTGTAAGTAACAATCGTACATTTCTGGAACGTATGGCTTCCACGTTTCTAGAATGTTAAAAGAAAATTAGGAATATCCATTTTATTATTGTATAATGCTTATAATAACATTTATTGAACTAACCAGCTTCAGACACCCCCAGAGTCTGTAGTACCATTTTTAAAGACTGCAACGCTTCCTTGCGACTCTCAGCCCACTTTAATGTATCATCTGTTATGTGTGAGCACATAATTAATGCTTGTACAATGTCCTTTATTCTTGTTTTGAGTATAAACAGTGGAAAGTGTCCTGTGAATAAGTAAATTTTTTAAGAAATACAATTAATACACATCAGATTGATATAATCAAACAATGGCTATATGATTATTGAAATGCAACTGTACCTATTGCTTGAGCAAATCCTATTCTGATCATTTGATTATGGTATCGTAAGTTACCCAAATAACGATTTATTATGGTATGACGAGCATCTTCATTGATGTATTCGTCCGCGTAATATTCTGAGAAAAATTCAGTGTGAGCTTCGGCTGATTTTATTCTTACAGCTGCCACTTCATGATTCAAACATTCCTCTAGCAAATTCTGCCAATCATCTGAAATAGTTATTATTTAGTTTGTTCATCGCTGTACATTCGCTTTAATTCTAGTTTTGTAATTTCATCACTTACCAACAATTTCTGTGGAATGTACAGGGAAATGAACGAGGGCACATTTTTTTATTAGCATGGCGCATGCCTGTTTCATAAGTTCACCCCCTAGACCTTTAAATTGACCTCGATTTGCGAATACGCGTACTGTATTTTTTATTTCATTGACAGCTGGTTTACCTAGTATGTTAAGATACGAATGTAATTTTTTTTTAAATCTGTTAAAAGACGAGTTACTATACGGGCGACCTTACCTATTATATTTTCAATCTTATCGTTGAAATGGTGATACACAGCATCTAAAACTTCTGCAATGGCAAGAACAGCTCCGTGTCGCACATTTAAATCAATTGAATCTAATAAGTCCAAAAGGTTTGGTAGGACAATTTCTACGATATACTGCGGATCTGTAGGTGTTAAATTACAGAGTGCCTGATAAAGAGATATAACAAATTTATTTTCATCTAAGAACTTTTTAAATTCATTCTGATCTACTCAACTGACCTTTGCTGCAAGCTCTCTGATAGCAGTATCCCAATGAGTAACTTTTTTCACCACTAAGTGATCTATTAGTGGTCTTGTATATTCTTTGTATTGTGCTATGTGAACGCTAAAATATATAATTTTTGTTTGCCAATTCAATAAATAATGTGTACAATCACTTTTGTACAATAAGCACTATACCTGATTTTGAGGTAAGCATGACTGCGCACTCCTACCTCGAAGTAATCTGCTATAGTTAGAATATCAATGCCGTGTGGAAAATTTCCTTGTCTTCCGACATTTTCTTGAAAGGCAGCAGAGGCAGCCCTACGGCAATTTATCTGCAAGAATGGTTCTCATCAATTTTCTGTGTCTCGATCAAATAATTTTAAAAACTGAATATCCGCGGAGTACCTCTCTATCGAAAACTGTAACGATTAATAAGGTAGCAGCAATTTCTTTGACATAAGGCTGAAAAACATTTGGTTCGAAGGCTCTTGCAAAAGACCAGCAAACGTAGCACGCAGCGTCACGAATTATAGAACCCACAGAACCGTAAGCTCGTGGCTCATCAAATACTAGCGCTTGGAGTACCAATGGTATAACATCATTCAGTCGATGAGGTAATAATAATCCTCTCCTTCCTTAAGGTATAAAAACAGACTCAGAAAAATATATGAAATCAGATTTATATATGAATTTTTGTGTCAGAAAAAGGACCAACCTAATTCTGCAAGTGCTAAGCAACCACCGTGCCATGCAGAATCGGATTCACGACCAGAAAATAGATTTAATACAAATCCCACGACATCATCTGCCATATCTATTGGTAGCCGCGCAGTGATCCTTCCAATTCCTTTTGCAGCTGACCATCTGAAAAGAAAATTAGGAATTTGTTTGCTCTTGATTACAACTCTTGTTATTATGTTTTTTGATTACCGAATAGTTATTGTTTTATCTCTGAGCCCTTGAATAAGCTGTTCAATAATGTCTTCTATCGCAGGAGGCACATCTTGATCATCTGCGTCATTCGTCATGGATTCATTGGTATCACCAACAGTTTCTGTTACAATATTTGTATTTGTAGTTGACAAAAGACTTATTTGTCTGCTTCCTCGCTGATACCTCCAAGATGCCAATTTTGATCTCAATAAAACAAATCCTATGAAAAGTATAAGAAGTCATATAATACAGTTGAATTTATTAATCAAATACTTTGAATAAAACAACATTACCTATACGTTGAACTACCTTCATTTCAAATTTTCTGACAAGCACTGCAGGATTCTCAGTTAATTTCAATTTTAATACTTTATCAAGTAAGATTTGAGTATATTGTTTGAGATCTTCTCTAGCGCAGTGCTTCAGTATTGAAGAAATCACTGCCAGAGGACCATGTCCCGATGGATCGCTTTCCAAGGACTGACAAAATTGAAATCATTTTTAATATCGATTGCATTTTTTTTAAATACAGTCATATGTATAAAAATAAAGTACCTCTAAACACCACAAGATCATTTCCTCAAGATATAATTTTTTTACATCAGACCGTGTTAAAAAATTTGCAATTAAAAAGACTGCAGCAACTGAACAAGCATCCTTTGATAAACAATACACTTTGCAGACCTTTAATATCCTAGAAATGATATTATATGAAAAAAAGACTATACCATATGAAATATAATATGGCCATACCTAACAATAATGGTCTGTTCATGTTTTACATGGTCAGATATTTCCAAACGAGCCAGAGGGAATGGTATCTTCGATATTATAGATAACCAAATGAGCAGAACATAACGTGTTTCCCATGTCTCTACATTAGATGGGTCCTGTTTCTCAAGCAATTTCAAAACAGGCACAAGATCCATTACCTGCATTAGTCATTGTATAATATTCTGTCGTATTCTCTGTATTACATGGTATCACAACAATGATAAATTCTTACCTCATGAGGAAGGTAAGTGGCAATTTTTTTGTAGGTTTTGACAGACATGAGAATAAACATATATTTAAATACATTATGTTTAACATTCTCTGGAGCATTATCATCTTTGACAATTACAAGCATAGAGCCCAAAATATCTTCCAAATATGGGTCCAAAAGGTGAGGCTGATCTTGATATTGAGATAAAATAAAGTTAAATCGATCTCTATTCCTCTCCAGGATCCTCATTGACAAATCTGGTTTTTTAAGTTCTGTGATAAGAGATTTTACTTCATCTATCTCTTTGAAAGCATTAAATCCACAGCCTATGCTTTCTGGGTCTGGATTATCGTTAAGCACCATTTTGACTCGTGTAATATGACTGCTTTTCGTGACTGTCACTTATTTGTCACTGCCAATGACAGTTTTATCCTTATTCGTGGGCTTGATAACGATGAAAGGAACTAAACGCCTACACTATCCACGGGAATACTTCACTCAACCCGGCAATCGTATACAAAACGTATATTTTGACAGTTCAAACCATAGAGTATTTCAGATAATCTATTGTATCAACTATCATATTAGAATTGTATAAAGTTTTAATAAGTGTCTTTTACTCTATTTTAAGAGCCCATATACTTTAATTTAATATACGTCGTCTTGCATGATAAATGATGCTTGTGTAATTGCTCATCGATTGAGCAAGACATTAATTTTATGTAGTTTTCATAAAATAAAAGTTAATGTATTTGATACTTTACGAATTTTAGAATATCGGTTAATTCATACTCCCTTGAAAAATAACAAAACGTATAGGTCCATTTATGAAAGCATTTTCACGTGCTCCGAAATAACGATACACTCTCCGCTCTCGGCTGATTTTTGAACATACCTATAGTGCTCCAGGAACACGCAAAAACGCTTGCACGAACGAACCTTATGTTGCCTGATAGAAGCACAGTTCTATACTGTAATTATGATCTATGTAGGTCTATGCTAGAATTTCACAGAAAGGCATTAATTTAACCTATGAAAATACATATGTTTCACTGTAATCCTTTCTTCTGTATTTATTTTTTGAAATAGTGAAACAAAATCCTCGTTATAAGGTGAACAAATACTATGGAAAAAGAAGGTACGTGAATTTCTGATATATTTGTGTTAATTTTAATATTGCAATTTTTTATTAGTAACAATGTGTTAGTGTATATAGAACAATTTATTTTTCAGAAATTTGTCAATTTTTCAATGGAATTATCAGAGATGAAAAAAATGTTTCTGCAGGAATGGCAGCAATTAGAACACTGTTGAAAGTGTTAGAGCATGCAAAATGTTAGTTTCTATTTAAATCATAATTTGCTAACTATAAGAATGTTAATAAATTTGTTACCAATTCATAATATTTTGGGAATTCCACATATTATTTATTTTACTAATTTCTTGTGCAATTTATTTAACATATTACATGTATTGCAGCAGAGACAGTTCAGGAACTTAGGTACTGCCTTCAAAATGCAGTTGATGCAATGAGATCTACAGATCATCCTGTAACTGCAATTGCATCTGGTAGTGAACTATTTCTTAGGTTCATTACATTGGCTACATTAGACACTCCAGTAAATATGAAGATTTAAATAATGGGATAAAATTTTAATGCTCTAATTCATTTTTATATAGTCTTTTGCAGAATGTAAAGGAATCATGATCTACAGAGGAAAAGTCTTTTATGAAAAATTAGTAGCAGCTAGAGGTAAAGTTGCAAGAGTGGCTGCAAATTTTATTAATGATGGATCAGTGAGTATATCGAATCACAAGACACTAATACTAAATAACTGATTCATGTGATTTTTTTTAATTTGGCAGAAAATTTTAACCCATTCAAAGTCAAGAGTTGTTTTGCAAGCAATGAAGGAGGCTGTTGCAAACAAGAAAATATTTGAAGTTTATGTTACGGCATCTTCACCTGATAACAGTGGGTATGTATTTTAAGATAAATGAAAAGTAATAATTTTCATCATTGAAAAATTGTATAATAAATATATTGTTTCCTGAAATAGAGAGATAATGTGCCAAGATTTACAACAATTGGGTGTTTCCTGTACACTGATACTTGATTCTGCAATGGGTTATATGATGGAACAAGTTGATATGGTAATGGTAGGAGCTGAAGGTGTTGTAGAAAGTGGTGGTGTAATTAATAAGGTATTTATCAAATTATCATATAGAACAAATTATTAATCTTCCAGTTTTACAAGTTTAAAGTTTTAACTTCCTCTACAACAGATTGGAACATATACTATGGCAATGTGTGCCAAGGAAGTGAAGAAACCTTTTTACGTTTTAACAGAAAGTTTTAAATTCTCAAGAATATACCCGTTAAATCAAGTTGACCTTCCAAACGAGTTTAAGGTAAGCAAAAATCATGAGTGTTTTTTTTTCATTAGATATAACACAGTATTGGCACTTGATCTATTCCATTTTATTACAGTACACTGCCAGTACGTTACTAAAAAAAGATCTACGAAAAGAACATCCTTTAGTCGATTACACACCACCGCATTATATTAATTTGTTATTTACTGATTTAGGAATATTAACACCTTCAGCCGTCAGTGACGAGCTCATCCAGCTTTATTTATGAAATCAATTTTTCACATATATTTGTACGTACAATATCCATGTCATTTTCTACGTCATTACATTTGTTAAGTAATAAAAGGAAAATGTGCACAACTGAAATAGAACATCAGTACCATAATCTATATGATAGTTTAAATCTTTTTATTTATTTATGTACCGTGTACAATAACATTCATTGAGTATTTTATAATTTACCTGATTATCGAGTATGTATAAAATATTCTGACTATTAAGCTGCTATGCACAGATACAATGCAATTAAATGTTAAATAATATACCATTTTTCATGTTAAGTTTCTCGAAGCCGACAAAATATAATGGACATTTGGACAGCATATCTCAAACGAATAAGCTTAGCTTTCTTTGTTTGTAGTTCTGCGAATGTATTACTCTTCTAAATATATATAACAATGTACAATCTGTTTTTTTTCTATAGCTGACTGTTTATGTTTCAAAATCTCTACATTCTGCACACATGAACAATTATATTGCACAGCAATAAAGGTTATACACATTGTAAAGTTAATAGCTGCCGATATTTAAAGTAATCTAATATATGAAAGGTATAATAGTTATTATATCTCGCAAATATAGATAAATTCAACAATAGAAATTAAACAATACGCGACGAAATTATATTTATGCCGATTAAAGATCAAAAAATGAGAAATACAATTTAATATCACTTGTTATGCACAAGAGCAAGTGCCCATCAAATAGTATTACCTAAGATTGAAGTTATTTTCATATCTAACAATATTGTTCAGGTAATAAAACATTATTAGTATCTAATTGACAGCGAGTAATTAACATTGATAATCTACATAATATAATTCGTTATCAACAAAATACTTTGGCGGATACTGCCAGTTTCTTGATTCTCTGTATACCATAATAAATTTCTCTTTAAAAGACCTCGTATCAAACATGATCACGTATGATATACAATAAAACTAAAACAAATTAAGAATTTTAAAAATCGAATTAGTTATACTGGATCAATGGAAGTGTTAGGCCAAAATTATATTTAATAATGGTTGACTTCACGAAACCTTGCCTACAATATCATTATTAATAAATGCCAGTATTAAAATCCAAGAATAGACGGTCGAGATATTTTATGTGATAAAAAATAAATTAGAAGACGATAACAAAACATATGTCTCGAAAATGGTGTTCATATGCTTATAGCGAGATGCAGCATAGACAATAGGAAATACTTTTTAACGAATGACCGTTAATTGATTTAAATTAGATCCAGTTAAACAAATCAAAATAAGATTTGATTTCTTTAAATTCTACAAAACTACTCTACTATTGTGCACGCTGAATACACAAAAATATTGTTTTACTTCGCGCATAAAGTTGGAACAATTGAAGCACCGATATAAAGTGTACTTCTGGCATACACTTCTTAATACTCCATTGTGAAATTGGCTGTTCAAAATTATAATTCATTATTCATAGTGCTTGAGAAAGTGTGTCAACTACTGTATAAATCTGATCAAAATGCGGTCTTTTTTCTGGTTCGTATTCCCAGCAACGCAACATTAATCGGTATATTTCATCAGGTGTTCCTTCAGGGGATGGCATGCGATATCCTAACGATATAAAAACATTTTATAATAATATTATCATATTAAATAATATTTACAAATTCATACCTGCATCTATTTTCTCTCGCGCCTGTGAATTCGACATTCCACTATAAGGGTTGCCGCCCTTAGAAAATATTTCCCACATAAGAACGCCATAACTCCATACATCGCAAAGAGAAGTATATTTTCCTGTCGAAATGTATGCATAGTAATATATATAATATAAAAATATATTTATGTTATTTAAGTGATTATAGAAATGATTTGGAGTTCACAAAATTTGTATACAAATACCGAAATTTAAGGCTTCTGGTGCTGTCCACTTTATTGGAATTTGTTTCATCCCATCAGATACTATGTACTCTTCCTCTTCTCTGGACATGCCAAAATCCGAAATTTTAACTATCGATTCGTATCCTGAGGTCCCAATCATAATATATTTCTTAATAAACGTTTGATTACTTATGCAATGACGTTGATCAAATGAAACTATGATCCACCTACCCACAAGGCAATTCCTCGCAGCTAAATCCCGATGGATGCAATATTTAGATTCCAAATAGCGCATTCCAGCAGCTGCATCCTTGCACATTCGAAGTTGTTCACGCTGTGTTATGGTGCCAGCATTTTTTCTCAAATACGTAAGTAATGAACCACCTGGACACATTAACGTTTACCATTAAGAACACACGCGTACATATCCTGAGTCATAAATTATATTGCTCTTACCAGGAACTATTTCCATAACAATCATAATTGGTTGCTTCTGCACACAAATCCCAATAAGCTTAACAATATTAGGATGGTCATATTGCTTCAAAATTCTTCCCTCTTGCAGGAACTTTTTTTTCTGTTCATCAGGCAGTGTCACTTTACAAGTCTTCACGGCTACTTCAGTCTTACCTGTCTTCAACTGTGCTTTATATACATCGCCGAAGTTACCCTAATAATTTAATGCATTGCAATGAATCCTGAAGTGTATATTCATATCATAAATTAGATAATCAAATATTTACTCTGCCTATTTTGTCCAAAAGTATGACATCGTCATTGTTAAGTTCCCATCGTTCACGCAAAATAGGAGATTTTAATATAGCACCGGATCGACTTGTTACAGGTAAACCAGATTGCCATTGATGCATTATTAATTCTTGTATTGATGGAAAGGTAGGTCCCTCAAATCTGTAGTGTCCCTAAAATATCATTTTAATTATTAAAACATTCAATAGTGATCAGAGAAATGCGAAGTTAAAATCACCAAATTTACCTCGGGCGTTGTTTGAACAATGAAATGTTTGTGTCCGTCCCAACAGACAGATAAGACTATCTGGCACTCATCGTTTCTAGTAGTTTCGCGTACCAAATAATCTCCTTCGTTAACAAGAAGTCGCACCACTTCTTCTCTTGGCAAAACACCATGAAACCATTCTTCCTCCATCAGTCCTGCATTTCCATTTCCTTTTTGGTTGTTACTCGTATTAGACCCGCCACGTAGAGGAACCTACATGTAATTAGAGTTTACAGGATATGCTTATTATATCCATAAGAATATTCTACAGGAGATGGTACTAACTTCAAGGTTGACGTACACCATTGGGGTAAATGAGAATTAGTATACTATCACTATTAGGTCACAACTCAAAAATATCAAAATGCTAATATAACTATTTAACAACTACTGTTTATAAAACGATATTCTAAACTGATAATATTAGGTTATACGATTTTAATCAGATGTAATTTGTAATTATGCAAACCACAGCGACAAAATACATAATATATATTAGTATTACAAAATATTATTGTTATCAAATGAGGTTTCAAATGTATGACTAACATTGTTGGGCACACAATATACAAATTTTATGTCACACATCGAGTTCAGGCAGATAGAATACATAGCACATACTACTGATGGAGCATTAACTGGTTTAGATGCTGGACCTTCACTACGCGCCCTAATTACTCCATTTTTCGTATCGTTTATTGAGGGTAACGATTTGAAGGGAGATCTTAATAATGTCATAAGTCGTTGATTCCGTCTCAGCGTAAATAGACCATTATCTGGAACTGTATTTCTCTGGAAGCGTAATCGTTGGAGGGAGAATGGAACACAACATGATGGGAACAAGACGAATTCTTCTATCTGGTATAACGAAATGTTATTACCTTGTTGATCACGGGTGGTTCAGTGAATGAAACTTCCATAGAAAGATCACAACCGGATGGTAATTCCTCGCAACCGAGTTCGTTGAGGGCTCCTCTGATGACGTCAGCTTGTCTTTGTAATTTCTTCTCCTGACAGCGTAACCTTAATTCCTCCCGCTCTCTTGAATAATCCAGGATTGACATTCTGTTATGTCAGAAAATGGAAATTTTCCTTGAGTAAATACAGAATACATTTTTTATGGTTACTTTCATTAAATTTACTTGGAGTCACTATTGCTCTCTTGAGAAGCCTGTCGATTTTGTTGGGTTGTCTTTAAAGAAGATTCCAGTTCCGTAAGTCGACTTCTTAGCCAGTCTATTGTTAAGTTATCCACTGTTAGCTTGTTTGGCAATAATTTTCCTGACGTGTCGTCCACGAGATTTTCATCAAACACGAATCTTATTGGCGAAGCTTGTCTTGTTCTGTAAATGAAATCAAAGCGATAATTGCGACGCATACAAAGTAACCATCTACACGAATTTATCTAATAAATAAATATACCTGTGTTTTCCTATAAAATCTTTGTATTCCTCGATGGGTTTTATCGAATCTACAGCCTTTTGCATTCGAGTATGAATTTCTAAAAACTTCTCAGTGGTAAAGTCAGAATATTTTACCATTTCTTGAAGAATACCTTTCCTATAAAAAAAAAGAACAGTACTGTGAGATTGGAACATAAGTTGAATATAATTTTATTTTGAAGCTTTCCAAATTACCATGTCCATTCTTATTGTTTGCATGTAATAGAGTAGAAAATTGAGTAAACAGTTTGCCAATGATATTATGACTTACCATGTTACTATAAATTCCTGATGGATGGCTTGCTGTCTCTGAAGTAAACTTGGCAAGTAACAGGTTCTCAAATCATTCTCACATTCAGTTACTGCTCCAAGAAGTAATACATATTCGTTGTGTGTTAAATGGAGCTTCCTACAAGCCTTTTGATATTTCTCTCTGACTTCATCTAATTTTCTACCCCCGCGGCCAGCTAACAACATAAATCATTTATAGAAAAGATATGACAAAAAATTTCAAATAAAATCTAAGAGCCATCCTTACATTTAATGTAATGCTCTTCAAATCTAGATCTCATTAACTTATAAACTTCCAAATTTTTTTGATACTCTGTTTTTTTCCTGGATACGTCATCAGTTAATTGTTGAAATTGATTATTTAACCATGTCTGTTCTTCCTGATACAATTTTCTGGCCTTTCTTCTTTCTAAGTGGAGATTGCTTATATGTTCAACTACTGTACTTTCCATAGAATCAGCCTGTTGCTTAATGAGTTTAGCAGTTTGATCAATGGAGTCCATTATGTCACGCCAGCTCTAAAATAATACATTTCCTTTATAAATTATTTATCATTAATGAACAAGTCATATACAAACAACTCTCAAAATCCTAATAACTTCAACATATTCCAAATAGTTCATTTCACAATTGGAATCTTAAGATAAGATACAGCTGTTGATTCACAGAATAACAGTATTATATTTTTTTACCTGAGCAATTAAGCTCCCAACAAGCTCCTCACTGCGTTCTACTTTCTTGCCCTGTGCAGTAAGAGAAGAGATCGTTGAAGCATACTCTCGATCTGACTTGACCTTATTGGTCAAGCAACGCCTCATTGTTTCTAAAAGTTTTATCTCAGCATCCTGTCGACCAAGAAGAGCCTCGTGAGAGGCTTGGCCCTGTAGGCTTGTAGAGAACCCCATTGTCCAGATGGGTTCTTATGTCAATTGTTATGCCTTGGAGCTCTCAATCAAATATATTAATAGAAACACATCTCTGCACATCTGTATAATTGACTTTTAGTAATTTATGCCATAGACAGCAGGACACACAAAATATAGAAGTGGACGATCCATTTCTTCTGAGATTTATTACATCACTTGATAAAAGGCACAAACTAAAGATCGCCCATGGCTGAGATCAACATTTATATTTATACACAACTAAAATTATAAATTTTTACTTTTACTGAGGAAATACCGCCACGGGATATGTCAATTCCAAAGACGACCGATAATACGTGAAAGTTTGAAGTGTGTTATTCATCCACCTAATCCAGCATTAAGATGCCTTTTCAAATGATTTGCATTTGGCAGAAAATGTGTGCAATGTGAACGAGACATAACTTTGACCAAGATTCTAGATTCCGATCGAAATAAAACGTTTTCGGAACGTTGAGGTTGTATGTCTTGATACGTCTACTGCTACAGAATATTCAGTTGATCACGTAATTCTGCTGGTAAATTGCAGCAAGATGCAAGGGCTCAGCTTATCTAGCTTGAAAAAGCACCCCTCCGTAAGTAAAGATTTAGTGGAAAACTTATAAAATTAATTTATAACATCATTTTCTATTTTTATAGCTGATTCCCCTGTATGCCTGTCTTATTGCGGGTGTAGGTGCAGCTTGTGCTTATACAATTCGTTTGGCCGTGAAGAATCCTGACGTTACATGGAATAGTAAAAAAAATCCCGTGCCCCAGGAAGCCTACAAAGATAAACAGTATAAGGTAAAGCTCTCTAGCATGTTGATTTTGTTCTATGCAGAGCATTGAAGTACATCATACAAATTTTTTTCAGTTTATCTCTCCAGTCAGGGATTACTCTAAAGTTAAATGTCCTGCTCCTGAATATTAAAATGTTGTAAATATTAGACCATCGATGAGGATGTAGAATATGAACTACAGGATGACCTGTATAATACTTACACAGTTAGTCTTAAATATAACCTTGTACTAATCTATTTAAAAACCTTTACATTTTGTTGTTTCAAGCCCTATAGTTTATTATTTGGATTATACCTGATAAGAATAAATAGTTTCCGTAATATTCTTCATATTCATCAATTTATCTTGTGGAATATGTTGCTTAAACTTATATGAGAATGTAATTAATAAAGTACTATATTTAATAAAAGAATTGCATTATCTTTATTTGTATTTAATTAAAATAGGGGCAAAATTGCAGAATACAACTCCTTGAAGTTAGCTGTGGATTCTTTTTACATGTAGTTCTTCAAGAAGGAGTTCTATTCTGCAGTTTTACCAAAATATGTATTTTAATGTTTTTTACCATTGCACTGTGCTACATTTTTGAAATGGGAACTGATAGAAGCAATTTTTCAATTTGACGTGTCTTGCCGTATTGTGTTAACGCGGCAGCTCGAGCCAATTAGACGCATATTTAGAATACATTTATATGAAATAAATAATGATATTAACAAAATCTGATTCATACAAGTAATACGAATATTCAAAGTCAAAAAGAGGTATTTTGTTGTAATAAATATTTGAGGAATATTGAAAAAGTAAGGTTAATCACTTATATTTCACACTGATAGAATAGATAATTTTGCTCATAAATCTCTGTATTTATGTCCGATTAGTTACTTATACTTCTTACAGCAATGACTTCAAATTGGGAAGAGTTTTATACAAAACAAAAACCACCATCAGATTTGTTAGAAAATGAACATTTATTAAACAATTTTGCTGCACATCATTTGAAGGAGAATAACAAAGTAGTCTTAGTAACGGTATGTGATTAATATGATTTCTATTAAAAAGATACATTTTACATATATTTATTTGTTATATTAGAGTGGTGGTACCACGGTTCCATTAGAGCACAATACAGTACGTTTTGTAGATAATTTTAGTGCTGGAACTAGAGGATCTGTTTCAGCTGAATATTTCTTGGAGAACGGCTATGCTGTAATTTTTATGTATAGGTAATATGTTAAAGTAAATAAATAAAAGGTACATATACATATATACATCAATATAATTTTTCATTACAGAGTGAAATCTTTAGAACCATTTTCAAGACATTTTACTGCGCAGAAGTTTTTAGATATGCTTGATTTAAAGGAGGTTGATGGAAAACCGTCTATTGCAGGTTGTTTGTCTTATATTATAAGTATATACATTTTTTTACTAATTTATATTTATATTCCTTTTTGTTGCAGTATCTTCAGAATATACAAATAGTGTGGCAAAGGTATTACGTAAATACAAGGCAGCACTAGCTAACGGAAAATTGCTTCAAATTAGTTTCACTACTCTTTCTGATTATTTGTGGTTACTTCGTTCTGCTTGTCAAGCTTTAACAATTCTGAAACAACAAGCTATTTTGTATTTAGCTGCTGCTGTTTCTGACTTTTATATTCCATCGAATGAAATGGTAGGCTAACACTAATCATCATTATTGTAATGTACATTCAATTTTAGATAATATGATATTATTAATATTACATATTCCATAGTCTGTACATAAAATTTCATCGACGGGGCCACCAACAATATCTTTGCATTTAGTACCAAAAATATTGGAACCCTTAGTAAACTTATGGATTCCTGAAGCATTTGTTGTATCTTTTAAATTAGAAACTGATGAAAAACTGTTAATACCTAAAGCAAGGGATGCTCTGAAGAAATATAAACACAATGTATGTGATAATTCAATATTTATAATAGCATGACATTAATGAGCATTATTAACGTAACATATTTTTTAGCTGGTGATTGGAAATATGCTGCAAAATCGAAAACAAGAAGTCACCATTATTAGCGCAGAAAACAATTATGTATTATTGTTAACAAATGAACAAATTGCAAAAGGTGACGAAATTGAACGTTTAATCGTGTCTGATCTTATTGAGAAGCACAAGAATTTTATTGCATTAGCGGCATCTCGCATTTAATGTACAGAATTTATAGAATAAGAATAAAGGTTATAGAATGTAATTACACGTTGGACATTTCTCCACGTACAAAGTGACTATCAATGTTAATCATCAAATATGAACAACATTCACTTTATGATTTTTTAGATTTGTAGAATATTCTTGTTATCTTACGAATGTAAATGTTATAATTATTGTGTACACTTTGATGTCCTTGGATCTTATAAAATATATTTTTATTTTTTGTCCCGAGACAAATTTCATCTTACAACCAATTGGCTACTCAACGTTTCTATACAAATTTTAGTTCCACTTGGTAATATTATTACTGGCACACTAGAGAAATGCAAAATAAGTATATTATGTATTTATATATTGACAATTATATACATGTTTTTAGATCACATATGTTTAATCATATATCACTACTGTTTTCATGCATTCCATATGAATTTTATAAAAGAGTGAATATTATGATTATGATAAAATTTATGACATAATTAAACTCATTTACCATTCTTTAGACTAGTTATCATATAATTTATTTTATCCGCTAACTTTTTGTCAGAGGGCGAACATTGCGCTAGTACAAATGATAAAGCTGACACGTCTTTCTGGTCCAGTGCTATTTGAGCTGCTTCCACCAATAAACTGCACATGATACGAAAAAACATGAAGTAAATATTAGAGTATATATTATAGATTTAATACGCTCACTGGTATTGCAATACTTACTTTACTTTGGCCAAATATTTCACCTTCAACTCATCTTTTATTCTTGGTAGATATTTCATTGCTTCTGTTTCCTTGTTGTATTTCAGACACTCATCCATGAATGGCTGCAAACAACAAACATTCTCTTAATACTTAATATTTCGATATTTGTTTAATAAAAAGGATTTATAGTACCTCATAGCCAATAGGAGATTTTTTACTTTTGGAAAACTTCTCCATCTCATTCCACAGTCCTTTTTCGGCTAGACATTGTATTCTTAACCACCAGTATCTGATCAAAAAAAAACGTTGTTCTGTTTTGCATGAAGTTTTTAATTCAATAAAAATAAGAAATATAAATCTACCTTCGGTCTGGCAATTTATATTCGGATCGTAATTTATCGGCCAACTTGAGCTCATTTTGAAGAAGTAAAAGCTTGACTGTATCGTGAAGTGATTTGCCTACTACAGGCTGATCAAGGGTGTCTTCCAAAGATCGTTGATAGCGTAATAATTTGATTTGCTCCTCTGTCAATACAGCATTTGTATCATGCCGAGCAAGTTTAAAGTTCTCTTGCGCGGATTGCAGTAATGCATCCCTTGACATAATATTCTGTAGAAGTAAGTATTCTTCATATTCGTAAACGTAAGCAAGAAGTCATTTTTACTGACCTTTCGCTGATAGCTCTCCTTAATGAACCACAGCGCTTGAGAATGAAAATCGTCATATTGATTATAAATGTCACGCAAAGTTTCTCGATTGTGGCTTTGGCAATATTTTACATATAACGCCATAGCAAGCGGACAATGCATTATAGAGATCTGTAATGAATAAAATCATGATCAAATATTTGTCGTTATATCGAATAATTGGGTAATTACCTGAAAATCAGCCAGTGGCATATTTTCTCTGAGATGAAGTATGACAGTATACACCAAATCTGTATTCCCACTTTCCACAGCTTTGTAAAGAGCTGCACGTTCCTCTCCTAATCTTAACAATAGTGGTACTTGAAGCTGTGCTTTTGGTTCATAATCTATTAACTGTAATTATTTTACTATTTATTAATGAATTGTCACACAAGTGAAAATGACACTAGTAGAAATATTCCAGGTATAATTTAGATAACAAATACAAAAGTCTCACTTTAACTGCTAATTGTTTTCTACCATAATCTGCAGCTCGCATTGCAATTTCACTGTATGATACTCCTGGAGCATATCCCAGCTTATCTGCTATTTCTTCTGCAATTTGTTCTTTGTCTAATACAGTTTGTTTCACCTATAACATTTATTATAATTATAGTAACATCTTCATGGATATGTAGAGACATTGATAAAATTGTATACCTTGTAACAAGCCCAATGGGCTAATATTCTACTCTCACCATCAATTTCAGGTAACTGAAGGTGCCGAGCAATTTGTATACTTAAATAATAATGTCGTCTTGCTACGAGTCTGTCAAGTAAGACTTGACTCGTTAATAAGTTGAGTCTATTCTCATTAAGGAATGTACTTTTATGAAATTATGATAACAATCTATCATAGTTAAGAAAAGGATACTGTGTATATGTTAGGGGTATCCCAACAGCAGGATGTCTCACAGCATTTAGCACTCTTAATGTTCTACACATTGTTACATAATATGTAGGATCAATTGTGTTACTGAAACCCTTTCCAAATTTAGCTGCCTGAAAGAAAGCCATCGAATACAAAAGTCATCTTGTAAATATATTACTTAGCCGTTACTTACTCTCATCAGAAGTTTTTGAGTTTCAAAATCAAATTCGTGACCAGCAGCTTCCACACAATCATGTACTGCTTGGTTTAATTTATGCTTTACTAAATCTATATAGCTGTCAGCCTTGTGACTCCTCTTTTGAAATTGCTTTGAAGCCTCCAGTAAATAAGATGCCGGATCTGTGGAATTTATTCGGAAGATCTTCTGCACGACGCTTCGTACATTTTGTATCATTTCATGTGAGGAGGCTGAAAGTACACGCACACCATCGATTTCTGTCACAAGGTGTACTGGACCGTCATAACTGTACACTATATTGTCAGCTGATTTTCCTACTACCATTATAGTACTATTCCAACTGCATACTACTGCTTCTGATCCGCACCTGCAGAAAAATTATTATCCTTATTTGCATAGCGTACAGTTAAAGAAATTACTCAAAAAGGCAAAAGCGTACCATGCTAAGTCAGTCAGAGGTTCTTTTATGTTAGTATTGCATTCGCAATATTTTTCTTTCAGATCAACTGAGCCCAAATATAAATGACCAGTATCTGCGTATAGTGCAATATGCTTATTGTGTCCAGAAACAGCAATTGCTGTGACAATATTTACTTTATTACTGAAGAGCGTACTCTGTAAAGAAGATTACAAATAATCCATACTGCAGGGGGTTTAACATACGGTTTGTCTATGAGGCTCACTTACAAATGGAATAGGGGTTGTAGTTTGATACGCGTGATGTATTTGATAAATTCCTTCTTGATTCGAAAGTATAACTTGACTGTCTCGTTGATTTCGTACAATACACCATGCATTTATTGGTCCACCAAGTTCTAGAAATTGGATATGTCAGATAAGGAGTTGGATAAAATATATAGTATACTTACTTGGTATTTCGGGTAGTTGTCTAACTTTTGGTTCGGATATATTATTTACTAAAAATATCCGATTAGTAGAAGTTAATACAGCAACACCTGTACCATTCATTGTAGGGAAGAACTTGGCCTCAATTACTTTAGTCTCTTTTGCTTCCTAAAAATGTACAATACTTTATTGATTCTTTTAGATAAAATATCACACTAGTATTGAGTACTGCTCCAAAAAAGTTAATACATTTCCCAAACTGAATGTATGTTGGTAAGTGCCAAACATATCATATATAAGGACCATTCCATCATCTTGAACACATAGCAGCTCCTCTTGGTGTGACCAGCCAAGCAACACTATCTGCCCACTGCACCACTAGAAGGAATAAATTTAAAATGTAGCAAAATTGAAATAATTTAATAACAGCTTTCAATATGAACTATGGTACACACTTGCAGCTTTGCCATTAACTTTCCTGAAGAAGAATATAGAAATATGACAGGTTTACTAACACCCTGTACTTTAACCAGCTTTTTGGGATTACGTGTTACAGCTATGGAACCTCCAAAGGGAGCTGCTACCACGATATTGTTACTGTTTACTTCAGTATGGAAAGAAAGAGGATATAGCTCAAACTTTCTAGAAAAAAAAATAAAGGAAACAGATATTCAAAATCATTAGCGTTTAATCATCAATATTTGTCACGTAAGTAAACTTGGTTACCTGAAGTATATATCTCTTCCTAACGGAAACCAATCTGCTGTTAACATTGCAGCCATGATAAAAAAATGCTACTATAAAATTGTCAATCCTTAAGTAATTTGATTTCTTTACTGTCACTATATATAATTAAACTTTTTTGACATTTGACAGATTGCCGAATAATGAAACCATCACACCATCTTCTTTTGAACATGTTCTGTAAGACAGCAATTTTTTACCGGGAAACCATCTTACGAGTATCTTGAGAGACACATAAACCATAGATTATACAACATAAACTAGAAACAAAGTTCAGCAAATGTCATTGGACAAATCTTTAAATGGAGGTAACAAAATGTTCAAATAAAATCTATTTTATTTTATTTCTTTATAATAAACGATAATAAAAATAAAAATAAATACGTTATCAACATAAGCTTTATTTTAAATAAAAAATCTTATGCAGAAATCTGACATTTTTATATATGGCAAAACATTTAACAGTAATGTTACATAAATATTATTATCAAAATGAACACGATAAATAACAATTTCAGTTGCCCCTTAAAGGCTGCATCACACCAAGCATAAATATCTGGAGAGGAGGAGAAGTCAGGCGTGCTACAATTCCGACAAAATACTCTCCTTTAATTTTTATTTACTATCCAAAAAGTACATTCCTTAAACCTATCCTTTCCATTCCAGTAAACTCGCTTGGTCCTTTCATAGAGAGAAACAGTTCGCATACTCCAAATACATACTAATTCCACTTTCATACGAGTAACTATACCCTGTTACCAATACAAGTCTCATCAAGAAGGTATTCCAGAGCTCCGCATCCGTTCTCCTTGATGCAGCATCGTTCCATACCCAGCACATAACACAATCCCATGATCGGCGGTCAACGAGTTCTCAGCAAGGTATAAGTGACCGCAGTGAAAGGCTGCGGTCGAGAAACGCTTTTATGCGTTCGTTTTGTCTCTCTTCTTCCAACTCTCCGGACTCACCGGTTCTCTCATCTAGTAAACGATGGTAGTGGTAGTAGTTGCCTCATACCAGATTCCCCGTTATGTTGAAGTCCGCGGACCTCAGGAGAGGGCATGGATCACGCACTCAGAGTCCTCAAAGATCTCACCTTCTCAGGATCTCAGCCTCCGGCCGTAGACGTACTGATTTTTACTGCTATGTCTCCCCACGCGAATCCGTAAAGTGCCGTCCTCTTTGTACTGACTTGTAAAGAGCTTTCTTTGAGACATACGAGAAACTTGGCATAACGTGTATCCATCGTGCGTACACTTTTATACACAACTGTTGCAGAACGCGCTCACTCAAGTTACTAACGTGCATCATAAAGTGAACAAGTGTTTTATACGTGCAGCATCTGGTTCTCTCTCTTTCTCAGATGATACGTAATTTTGATCGAATGGCCAAGTGACGAATTGACCTCAAAACCAATCAACGATTCCACCATGGCGTAAGTCGATTCGTGTATCTTATATCGATTATAAAATATTTTGTTTAAAGTATTCAGAGGACCTTATTCACAAAATGTCTTATTGTTAGATAAAAAAAAAAGTTTGCAATAATCTGTCAAGCAGTAAGTATGAGGTAATCTACTCAATGATGTTGACTATCAAATTCTGATAAAAGCACGTGATTTTGCGAATATTTTGTCGAGTTAAATGAAATACATTGACTTTACAATTAGATTTTATGGTTAGAATATGGGCCAATAACGAGGTAGTTCTTGCCGTTTACTAGTGACAGAAGATTAGTCGGCTTTCCCTGGCTTCTTTTTCCACAAATTTCATCAATGGATTATCCCCTTTTTATCGCTGGTACCGTAAAAACATGTCCTTAATTAAGATGGGAAGTGAAGAAATTCTTACAGCATAGTTTCTTTTTATACGAAAAAGCGAGCCGAAAGATGAAGATACTATAACTGATGATAAAATTATGGTCTTCAGAGCGTAAAACTCATATATTCCTCAAGGACAGTTTATAAAATCGAAGGACGCAAATTTCAGCTAATAGACAAATAACTATTAAAAACGCGGAACAGCTAATTGTATGGAGGACTACGCTCGTCCTTCGGCTTCACGAAATGAATATGTAAAAATATCTAATCTATTAACCCTCTCACCAATACGCAGACAGCGAATCTATTTTGCACCCGAGATACAATTATAAAATTTGCATACATGTGGGAGCTCCTCTTGCCAGAATTCAGACACGTAGATTTTCTAAGTGCGTTCTATCATGCTTGGAATATCAAAATTTCAGTATAGTTATTATATTTCCTAACCTCTAAAAAGAAATTTTTAACGCACCTCATTATCGCCCAACGTCTCTTACGAGCATGTGCTGCAGGTTTTTGACACTATGTGTTATTTGTAATGAATAAAAGAACACCTTATATATTTACCTTGAACAAGGTCCGCTTTATCAAACGGTATTATGTACTGCACCCACTTTTGTGAAGCTCTGACACGAATACAAATAAATCTGAATACATTTAACAAAATGTTGAAAGGCTCATTTTCACGAAATTATTAATTTATTTTCATACATTGGATGTGCAGTGTTTTATGTATTAATAGTTGCATTTGAGAGATATAAGCTGAGTTACCGAGCGGTTAGACCTTACATAATATTTAAATGTCACTCGGGTTTTTATGCATTGATTCTCCAAGCTTGAGGCCATTCTAGTAAGATGAGCATAGATACTACAAGATTGCGTGAAACGCGGATATAAAATAATAGATGTTTAATGACCAATGTAAATTATAGATACGGGACAAGCTCGCATGAAGTAAACAAATCATTTTATTTATCACGCATTGCAAGGAAATATTAAAACTTTAGTAATGTATTTGAACACGTGCTAGCTGGTGTTTAGTGAAAGTTCAAGAGGAACATGCAGTTCTTCACTTACCTTCAACATTCTATGTGGACGTTACAGAGAAGTTAGCTGACTATGCCATTAAAATTAGTAATTTTCAGAACAATCTAATTTATGTGCAAGATGATCATAATTACTCGGCTCACTTGAAACAATTTCGAGTTTCTGAATCTCAACAAAGGACAGTGAAAATAATATGCAATACCTGTTAATAAAATTATACCAATTCTAACTACAAGTGCTGCATTGAAAGAGAAATTTATTATGCACTTGGTTACACCTTGGCGCAATAAAATGGCGTTTAAAGTTAAGCTAACATATACAAAGAAGAAAACAAACAAATAACATTATTATCGTATAAAAAGTCAATACTTAAGTCATTAGCAAAGATTTTGACAAAGTCAATCTATTAAAATATATCGTCCATTTCATTTACAAAAGCAACGTATGGGACCGCTAGAAAAATCAGTAAGCGTATCCGAGGAAAACACCTTGTTAATACAAACCTACGCAATGAATCTTCCCATAATCGAATTCCTGTAGCGGAAGCGTGGAAAATCGATTGAGAGATAACAAAGCGTACACTGATTTATCATAGTTTTCAACTTTCTACAATGAGACTGCCAAAACTCAAAACTATTTACGGTCGAACGATCGACTTCAATCTGAGACTAATTATCCGCCGTAAGTCCCGCGATACACTTCAAATTCTCACGATGAATTGAATTACTTTACAGTGAGATACAATGACAGACTGATATATTTGAAAAAATGAAATAGTAAGAAGCTTCCATGACGTTTCCAATATTACAAAAGGATTATGAAGAAATGTCGAAAGGAGTAACCGAAAATCGTCGTCACTCAAAAAAAGTTTACTCTGACAAAGTCATTGCGGTTTTTTTTATCGGTGAAATCTATTAGATTTTACTAGTAGAATTTGTAATCTAAGCTGCGGAATTCGCCGTTCCCTTTGATCGATCGACATCCGGACTATGATAAAAGATGCCACAATTTTAATTGGATGCACGTGCAAATCTTTCACGCGGCATAGACATAGCTGTATGTTTTACTTGAAGCATAGAGAAACATTCCACGCCTTTCTCAATTACAACTCTATTCCCTTTGCACTCTACAACAACCTGTTATATCTCTGTCGTAGCTTCCCAGTAGAAAGGCAGGAAGCCCTACCCCGTGCTTATACCTATATATATCCAGTTCCTCTAGACTAGCTTGCAGTTGCCCGTAGTGCAATCTGTACAGAACTTCATCCGCTTTAGATATTCTAAAGTATTTTCATGATAAACTTTTATTTCAGTTCCTGGCTGGTGTACGGTCTGATATTGGCTAGTGCAATATTATCAGAATGTGCACAATGGCGGCCCTGCGTAGAGCTCAAGAGGAACCTGAACGTTCCTTGCAAATGCACCTTATCGCCAAATCATCAAAGGGCCATCGTCATGAATTGCGACAGGATGATCTTCACTCGGGAGACCTTGGAAAACTTGAAGGATCAACCGATAGTTTCACTGAGTCAAACGCACTGCGGATATCAGAGTCTTCCAGAAGATCTTCTTCGCGCCGGTCTTCCTCTGGAGAAACTCGATCTCTCTGGAAATTTCATACACAGACTAATGGATCGTCTTCTGCAAGTTCAAAAGCATCTCAAGGAACTCAGACTAGCTGATAACTTACTTGGTGATAATCTCAACCCAATTTTCTCGAGCAATGAGTTTCACGAGATGTCTGAGTTGAGATTGTTGGACCTCCGTGGAAATGGCTTGAGAAGCATAGAGGAAGGGATCTTCAAGGGATGCTGGAACCTTGAGGAATTATATTTAGATAATAATAATTTGACGATGATACCAGCAGGATCGTTAAAGGGACCAAGAGCCATCAGAATTTTAACCCTAGCGGAAAATAATATCGGTAGGCTTTTACAACATTTTTAGTTTCCATAATTATATACTTTTATGATAATTATACTTTTTTTTTATTTCTCACAGCATCTCTTCCTCGTGGTGCTTTTTCAACCTTGGGAGAATCTCTGCTGCACATTGACTTGAGTAAGAATGAATTGTCTTACATGGAGGATGGTGCACTGTCTGGTCTTGGTCGTCTACTGTTCTTCAACATTTCCCACAACGATCTGACTCGTTTCAATAGCGACGTTTTCAAGGGTATGTTTTATTTATTTGTGATAGGAGAGAAAATGCGGTATACCTCCACCTTGGGAAATGGAACATTGTGAAGCGACAGATCCGTGCTATCAAATCGTGGGAATAGTTTGCAACTGGTATATAATATCCTGTCAGAGAATAAACCTGTGGTACAGTTATGACCTCGGAAGAACAATGAACTCTTGGTATATACTCAGGAAACGATTCTAGCAGGATTTCTTTATTGTGCACACGTGTTTTTGAATACTTCCTTATTTTCTTCAGGAGTATTCATTACTTCCTGTACGCTAGTTTTGTATTTCTTCGTTCTTAAGAATTTAACACTCAACTGCTGAATTAATTACCTATATATGGCTTAAAGTCAGAGTTTACCATATGAATATTTTAGTCCCCTTTTCAAGTCTTTTGTATCGTGTATTCAAACGTAGAAATCGTACAATTACATACAAGATTAGTTGGTCGTGTTCTAGCATGAGAGTTGATCCTGAAGAAAATGGCCTGGAGCCATACACTTGTGCGATCCATGAGAAAATGTCAGGCGATCTCTTTCTCCTGAATGTATTATGGGCATTGTCGAGTTTGTCTATCACTTTAAGAATCTCCTCTTTTTTTTCAGACTGCTTTCATCAGGACACTTTCACTTTGTAAAAATATATTTTAATGAGAGCTCCGTACTTTCTGTTCGAGTTGATATACCAGTGTGCTTCAGGTTTTGAATTACCTTTTTCTTCAATCTAATTTAACAAGTAATTTCTATGAGAACCGAATGTTTAAACGAGTAAAAGATCTTGAATGCATGGGAATTCGGTTGTAGCACTCCGTTATACAGGAATGTAAGTGTACTTGAATGACTCATAGTTAAGTCACGGTCGGTTGACGTCACGAATCTGCATATAGAACTCCGCCTTGTATGATATACAGACTCTTGACGTGTTTTTTATTTTGACAAATTATTCTTGACTAATATAACTAGTTGATCATCCTTAAGATGCGTACAGACTATATGTAATGTACTTTGATGGACGTATGACTACGTATTGCGGCAGCTATTCTATGGAGTTACATAATTTTTATAGGTGCTTACAATCTCCTGCAATTGGATCTCTCTGCAAATTTTCTGCAAGACTTTCCAACTGATGCTCTACGTCACTTAGAGGATTTAAAATTTCTCAATATCTCCAATAATTTGATCACTGTACGTTCAGTTGCATTCTTTTTTATTGGAATATTATCTTCCATCCAATGATTACAATTGATTATTTTTAGGGAATTGAACGTGCCAATTTAGCGAGTATGACTGAACTCCAAGTATTGGATCTTAGTAGGAATAATATAGCGCGTTTAGGAGTAAACACATTTTCCAGTCTTTCTTCTCTTATTAGACTTGATCTGAGTCTCAACGCACTAAGAACGGTATGTGATGTTATTTATTATACAAAACGACAGTTCGAAATTCTTTTGATGGTAATAGAGAAAACATTTTAATTACAGATCGAGGAATCGTCCTTCGAGGGCTTGACAAATCTGAAGTGGCTGTCCCTTCAAGATAACAATATCTTATTGATCCCGACTTCAGCTTTGGCACGATTACCATCTCTTGCTCATCTTCATATAGAGTTTAATCGGATAGCTGCTTTATCGTCGGATTTGATACGTTCTGCAGCGCCGACCTTAGTTACTCTTGGTCTGACGCGTAATTTGATTCGCGAAATACCGTCGAGACTGTTCTTTAATTTTGAAAGATTGACTAGCATTAAACTTTGCGGTAACATGTTGTCGTCAATTTCGCAAAATACCTTCACAGGTCTCGAAGACACCTTGTTAAATCTTGATCTTTCTTATAATCGATTGACAGCCGTTACAGAGCTTCCTTTGCGAAATTTGCTCTTATTGAATTTAGCGGGGAATCAACTAAAGCGAGTCTCTCCTGAGACATTTAAGTTTTTGCCAAATTTACAGTATCTAAACTTGAGTAATAATCCACTTTATGGTGGTTTCCCACCGATCTTCCCTTCGTCGTTAATCACCTTGGACATATCATACACCGGTCTAAAGATATTACCTTCTGTGCTATTTCTAAATCTCGAGTCTCTTGAGAAAATATCACTAGCAGGAAACCATCTTCAGGAAATTGTCGATGGTACTTTTCAGCATCTCTACAATTTGTCATCAATTGACTTGTCATACAATGCTATTGAGACTATAAAGAATAGTGCCTTCGTGGGACTCGTCAATCTTTACGAATTGAAATTAAGAGGCAACAGGCTGACCAGCTTCGTAGGAGAACATTTCAACACTGGAACTGGTCTAGAAATTCTGGATTTGTCTGATAACAGAATCACCACCATATCACCAACAGCATTCGTAATTCATCCGAGATTACGAGAGATAGACTTATCTCGTAATCGTTTCACGCATTTCCCAAGTGATTTTCTGAAGTCCCTCCAGTTCTTGGAGAAGGTTGATATATCTGGTAATATGTTGCGAACCGTGAATGAGTTCGCTTTTTCACAAATGGGACGCCTTCGAATACTGAATTTATCAAGAAACAAAATTGAATCGGTAGAAGAATTGGCATTTCACAATTCCACTCAACTGCAAATATTAGACTTGTCAAATAACGAATTGGAATTGCTCAGCGAGCGTACCATGGAAGGTGTTTATCGATTGGAATTTTTAAATCTGCAAAACAATAAGCTGTCTTCCTTGCCAGAAACTATATTCGATCCGTTAAGGATTCGTGCATTGGAACGAATTAATCTGTCTGGTAATAAATTCAACGAAATTCCAATTCGTGCTTTACAGAGACAATCTTCGTCTTTGTTCGGGCTAAACATTGCTAACAACAAGATGATAGAGGTTTTCACACAAGATATTGTGAGCAACGTCAAAGAACTAGATCTCTCCAATAATCCCCTGAGTGAAAATGCAGTAAGAGGCATTTTGGGCGAGGCAAAGATTCTCCGTTCCTTGAATCTTGCCAATACAGGAATCAAGAATATTACCAGGCTGGAGACGCCTTTCCTAAGGTATCTAAATCTATCAGGAAACAGTATAACAGATATGAGATCTCCAACACTAGAACGTACTACTCTACTAGAAACCCTGGACATATCCAAGAACAACTTATCAGATTTTAGCAATCTAATATATACATTCCGGACGCTACCAGTGCTTCACGTATTAGATATATCTGGCAACGACGTGAAGACCATCAATGAGAGTAGTTTCAATGGTCTTAACGCACTGCGTGTTCTAAGAATGACAAATTTAACAGATTGTATTAGAATTGAAAAGAATGCTTTTAAGCCACTATCTAAACTACGATCTCTCTACGCCTATGATTACCCACGACTTGGTTACTTCGACGTACAAGGTATTCTCAAGGACATGAGCAACTTGGAGGTTCTCGACATAGAGATAAAGGATTCTTCAGTAGGAAATGACCAGCTGTTCATCGAAACTCATCCAAAATTACAAGAATTGACCCTAAGAGGTGAAAGGCTTCGAAATATATTGCTCAGTGCATTGGTGGGAGTTCGTAGTTCAAGATTATACATCGGCCTGAAGAATTCTTCAATCGAGTCAATACCAGCAGCATTATTCTTCCCGGTTCCACGTTCTACCAAAATAGAGTTAGATATTTCCGGTAGTCAATTCTCAAAAATATCCCCACAACTATTGGCAGCGCTGGACGAGCGAAGTGGTACAGTGAAGCTGCTGGGTCTGGATACTAATCCAATAAACTGTGACTGTGAATCAAAGCATCTTTGGCGCTGGTTGAAATCATCCCGCAACGTCACTCCAATCAGATGCAAAACACCAGAGTATCTTTTTGGCAGAGTCTTTACAGATCTTCCAGAGGATTATCTCTCGTGCGATCACACGTCATCTACTAAGTTCCAAACAACTGAAACAACAACGTCTATGAAGTCTACGACTTCTGAACCTGAAATCATCTGGACTGTTGCACCCACTGCACATGATATGCAAAACAAGCACCACAATGGTGATCTGGCAAATTCCTCAACTGGAAACACAACCGGTACTGACGATACTCTGATCATTGGTATCGTAGGTGGCGTCGTGGCGTTTATAGCTATCGTCGTCATTATTATTTGCATATGCCGTATTAGGTGGAGCAATCAAGTCAATGAAGCTCGCATGGCAGCTATGACTTCCAGCATACACGAAGCTTCTGTTATCAGACCAGGCAGTACTTATTCAGGAAAAATGAACCAGGAACTTTATATGGGATCTTATAATGGATCGACTTTAGATCATGGTACTGGTATCGCAGGATCACCTGTACCTACAACGCCAGTTCAGATGATGCCATTTGTGCAACCTATGCATATGGTGCATCCTGTGCATGTTCCATCGTCTCAACAAATTTACGGGTATTATGATAATCCCCCTCTACCTATGTATATGACGTATTCTTCAGAAAATAAGTTCGATAGATAATCACGGTAGCCGTGGAAACGTTCGTGCGTTTTTTTTAAAAGCTTAGTCATTTAGAGAAATGCATGCAATTATTCATGTTCTTTTTTATGATGATTATGTGTACGTCGCATGTATTTTCCATGTGACAAGATACGCAGGTAATAATTATTGAATGTATTTCCGGTGCTTATTTTTATCTGCTGTTCCAATACTTCTTGTATGTACTAATGCAGCGATTACATCCACGTTCAGAGCTAAGCTAGAGTGAAAAAATACTTTGTCAAGTTTTTTAAGCTTGACTACGAATATGTATCGGTTTCATATTATAAATTATTTTAATTAGTACGCGTTAAATATTCGCTACGTAATATAATTATTGTTCTGCTACCAAATCCGTGAGACATTATAAATAGATGTAATTGACCTGTGTCAGAGTTACAAACAGAAATGAATATTCATGCGTGTTGTCTTCGCTGTATGTCATTGATATATGAAGATATTAGAGAACGGATTATAGATAATACGAATGTATTTTTATAAAGTATCTCTAAGAGCGAGTTTATGTTCACGCAGTAGTGTAATTTTATATTACAAACCTACATATTGTACATATTCATATCAAATGTTTTATTTAATTTATATGCTAATATAATGTAATTATTCATAATAATAAATTATGCGTAAGATTAAAAGTTATGCAATAGGCCATGATAAATTCCTTGATACGCATGTAATCAGAAATTGCAAAACGAAAAAAATGTTTGCTCATTTGACTTGTTTCTTCTTCTTTTTGCTCCTTAGTGGCTTTATGTCCTCAATTGAACTTGTCTCCTTGAATTATATGAAAAATAATTCGCCGATTGATTTCCTAAATGTGATGAAGCTGTCCAACAGACGAACAGTCCGATTGTGGCTATGGTCAAACGCGATGAGAGACATTGTAAACCGGTCATAAAGTTTCTTGCAGAATTAGTCCAGAAACTAAATATTTGTGTAGTTTTAGAGGAGATGAAGTGAATTAAATGAAAGTTGTTAATTAAAGACATGCTAAGACTATACAAATATTCGTTAATAAATATTATTGCCCTATGTATTCTATAATTAGTGCTAATTATCATTTAAACGTTACTTCTTTTATCACAGTGCACTTTATGTCAGTTCCTACGCTTATGCGAAGCGTCGTCTAGCCATTTTCCAGTGCGTCCATTTTAGTACATGGTTTTCCCAATTCTGGCGTTACGTGTTTTACTGGAAGAGGTCGGTTCATGCGCAAAGTCGCTTGCATCTTTTGCAAACATATTTAATGCCTTATGAACCCCGAAGTTGGTCGTGTGCAGCATTGAGTTGCGGGCTGATTCGCATTTTTGGAAAATCGAGGTGTAATCATGTCTTCAGGTAAGTTTTATTTACTTTATATGAAACTCTGGAAAGCACTTGATCTTTTTTTATGAATTTGTCATTCTTGAAGCTGTCTGTTTGACGTTTACATACCTTTCTTAGCTCACATAACCAAACATCTTGTGAAACGAACAAACCGCATGCTTCGATATTGAATTTTTTGTGTGTGTATTAATGTCGCAAGGCGTGGTTTCTCATGCTCACTGTTTTCATTTAGGTAAAAAGGGGAAGAAAAGTAAGGGAAAGACGTTAGCGTTAACGGACTTTTTGGCCGAAACCCCTGGTGGTATTCCAAGTGTGCCCCTGAAGGCCTCAAACTGGGCTGATGATGTTGAAGATGACTATGGTAAAACAAACTCATTTTCAGTATCTTTATTTCTATTGAAAATATCCATATTAACGGTATTCAAAAGTAGCTCTTGCAGGAATTAGTCTTCAATTTTTCTTTGTTTGGCTCACAAGCATTAGTCATCTAAAAGCTTCTATTTTAATAGACTTTGTATCATCGAGTGTCCTCCTTGAAAAACTAAGCTCTTCTGATACTATTTATAAACATATATGTGTGGAAATTACTTTTGACAGGTGGAGGATATTCATCAAGAAGCAGTAAGGAGCCTGTTGTTCTACCAACTGCTCCAAGAGCTGCACGTGGTCCTGGTATCAATGAAGAAAATATTCCAACAAACCCTCCTTATGTAGCATACATCTCTAATTTGCCCTATGATGTAGATGAAGAGGATCTTGCTGAATTTTTTGCCGATATGCAGGTTTGTTCCATCCATATAGTACTTTGTCAAGCATTACCAGCAACTAAAATAATAGTTAGATTTATATAATTTCATATTATCATTAAAATACATTAATTAATACAATATTTCCATAGGTATCCAATATGCGTCTCCCAAAAGATTCCAATAAACTTCGGGGCTATGGATATGTTGAATTTGATGATCGTCAAAGCTTAATAGATGCACTCTCCATGCCAAATACTGTTAGTACAGTACACCTTTCAACTATAATTACCAGAGCACTTCATTAATTCAATTTCTTACCCATTAGACTATCAAGACTAGACGTGTCCGCATCGAAGTTTCAAACAGCAGTAATGATGAGCGTCGTGGTGGGCGTATGGGTCGCGATAATCGCAGAGATAATTATGATGACCCTGATCGTACATCTGGAGATTGGCGAAGTGGGCCTCGCGAAGAGATTTCTTCTTCCGACGGTGATCGTTTCCGTAGTCGTGGTGGTTTTGAGAATCGCGACAGAAGAGATGACCGAGAGAGTATGTAAAGATTTGCTTAAATGAATAATTCCTCTAATTTTAAATGAAATATTTAGAAGTACTACATATTATTTTTAGAGCCCGATTATGATAACAAACCAGGTGGTTGGCGGGAGGGTGGTGATAGAGGAGGTTCTGCATTTAGAGACAGGGGTGGTTTCCGTGACGAGGATAGAGAAAGGGACTGGCCCCGCTATGGTGATCGAGATGGCGATAGGGACAAAGACAGAGGAAGTAGTTTTGGACCACGTCGTAATTTTGGAGATTCCGATTGGGACAGAGATGGTCCACGTAGGCAAGCTCGACCATCAACTATGGATTCCACTCGTAAGTATATATTTTTTGTTTATTAAACTGAAAGCTACATAGTGAATATTTCCATTTTTACAGAAGGGGAACCACGAACAAGACCCAAACTACAGCTACAGCCACGTACTAAGCCTGTGGAGCCAATTCTTGTAAAAGACGAACCTACTGAAGCCGAAGCTGAAGCTGAGTCAGCACCATCATCTACATCTACATCTGCACAAGCACCAGCTCCGACACCAGTGCCGGCAGTAAACATATTCGGTGCAGCTAAACCGGTAGACACTACTGCCAGGGAGAGAGAAATTGAAGAACGTCTTGCTAAGACTTATGCAGAATCGAAATCTAAGGATGAAGGGTACGTGAGAAATATATGAACATTACTACATTTTACTTAGGAGCAAAAGTTCCATTTTTTTTATATTATGTCTCTCTTATAGGGATGCAGATAAACGCAGCACAAAGGAGGGTACCTGGGGACGACGTAATGGGGTAATTTTTAATTATAAGATAATTCCTAATATTGTTATTTATTTAATTTCGTATGCTTATCGTAATCGTTTGTCTTCTCAGGAGGGACGTGAGGATAGAGACCGAGGTCGGCCGACTTGGAGATCAGATGAAGACAGGGGGCGACAAGCTGAACGATCTGGACCACGTCCAGCTACTTCAGCACGTTCTGGTAAATATTCATAAAAGCAGTCGTACAATGTACCACTGTTAATTCTATAATATTTGGATTTCTTGACGTAGGTCAACGTGGAGATTCTAGAGGTCCACCAACTTCTCGAGGTGGTCCTGCACGAGCGGGTCAGAAATCAAGTGACTCCCGTGCGCCTCCTGAGAGGTATGTAAATATCTATTATAAAAATATTGTTTTAAATAAAGACTATAATAATGTTTGTATGATAGGGAGAGAAGAGAGAAGGACCGCGACGATGATGTCAATAGAATGCCCAAGGCCAAGGATGAACAAGCTCCGGTAAGTAAATACACATATATTTTGATATCACGACCGGGACACATGGTGTTCTGAAAACTCGCTTTTTCTGGCTAATTAAAAAAAAAATGCTGTTCTTTTTATTCCAGAACTTCATAGCTTCCAACAAGTATTCCATGCTCCCTGATGATGTGGACCCAGACAATATTGATGATTAGTCTCGCTCATTATAATTTATATCATCGATTAAATTGTGCCACATGTATCATGATTGGTATACATATGCATATTAATAATTTGGGTAACCTCCATCAAATACTTGGCCAATTGATTAATGAGCTGGGCTGCACCTGCCTAGTATTGCATTACTGGAGTTATTGTTGATTTGTATTTAATCTATTTTATTATTCCTTAATATAATTATTACCTACCAGTCTATTCTATCTTGTAAATCGATAATAACATTCGATATAACTGCATCAGCATAACGTCAAATCTGCTCATTTTTAAACATGCGATTATGTTGATCACGATATGTAAATCAATGGGCAGTTGTTTTAGCAACACTTAGGAATTGGGACTTTATACTTTATACTTGAATACCTTATCGAATGTACAGTTGCTTTGAGGATATTGTACAATATATGACACGTATACATGTAATATAACAAAGCTGCTATAGAAGAAAAAAATTGAAATGACAAATATACAGACACTTAAAGAAAAAAGATATTTTACACTCGCGTGTATTTTTTTGCAATGCATTCACTTTTTATATATAAATTCGCTGCTTCACTCAAGAAAATATGAGTGTAATTTTAATACGGTATAAAAATATCGCACAAAATAAATTATTAATCGGGTTTTAGTTGTATATTTGTTTTATATAGCAATATCAGATTGTATTTCTTAAATTTTTGTAGTTACACGAGATAAGCACTTATATTACATATTTACATATTTTCTTGCTATCTGCTTTCCTTACCTTTTCGATGAGATAAACTATGTAACATTACTGCTGTTGTGTAGTCATTGCCAATTGACGCAATTGTTTCAATACTGTTTCTAAGAGTTTCTTTTTGTCTCGCTCGCTTTTCTTGAGCACTGAGAATACCGTCTTCTTGTCGGATTCCCTAAGCCTTAAACAGAATAAAATAAGTTGTACGGAATCGTGAGGAATGCACGATGATCAAAGACAATAAAATGGAGTACTTACTTCTCTAGTAATAATACGGCCATGTTCGGAGTGACAAGGTTGTATTTGCTGGAGTCTTGACCATAGTCGTGAAAATAGGTGGGCCAATCCCAGCTCATAAATAAGTCGAGTAATTGTCTGAGTTGTGCGAAATACTGTAGCAATGTACCTTCCGGCAAGCCAAGTACAGGTTCCGATGCTGCGAATTCTGTGAAAGGCGTGAGAATAAAATTGTAATTCAAAACATAATTAAAACAAGAAACGTACGTTCACATTGTATTGTATCCAAGTTAACTTGTTGTAGGGCACCCATGGAGATCTGCTTCACATCATCACTTATTAGTATTCCTAAAATGGCTTTTGCTATGTGGGAGCATGCTGATTTGCATGCAACCTGAGCAACTTCCTCCTGAAAGAAATACTTTGCAAATGACCACAGAGTTCAGGATAGAATTGTAATGTAGTTTATATGTATATGCAACAACAGCAAGGAGTTACTGGTAGATTGGTGAAGCATGTGAAGGTACTTTGCAAAAATGCTATAAGATCCGTAATAAAACCAGATGCGTGTCCTTGCGGTTCGGCCAAATTCCAATCGTAATTTTCTAATTCCAAAAATTCATCCAGTTTATGCTTTAGTTTGTCACAAATTTGCTTCTCTGCATCGTCTCGAGCTACTCTGAACATGGTCGACTGTACTCCTGCGCAACTCAATTGACCTTCGTGTGGAGTTCTGAAGAAGGAAAGAGACTTTAAGTTTACAATATGCAGTCATTCAGAAATAAAATATGTTAATTAAGATCATTGAATACTCACCCAGTAATGTTGGAAACAAACTCTTCCAAGTATTTCGTTGAATTCTCCAAATATCCGGTGTTTATTATAATCTGTACCACTTGCAAAAGTGCTAAGGAAGGCTTTCGGAATAAGGAGGATAAGCAACCGCTGAAGGTTCTCGTTAATAGTAAATTCGTTGACTTGCATATCATCTCGTCAATTTCCGTTTGCGTGAGATTCAGATCTTCTGAATATTTTAGACAAGCATAAATAAACTCCTTGACCTGCTGATATACTTTAGGGACCATAGCTGAGAAGGGAAACTTTTTGGGGAATTCGGCTCTCTGCCATCCCTCATCCTGATATGGGAATGAACCCAGGACATGGTCATATTCTGCTTGCGACGAAACCTGCAATTAAATATGGGAAATTAGTCTGTTGCTCAATATAAGCAGCATAGTGGAAAACTTACCTGAATTGGTAAGAAACTATCCTCGTCCAGAATATTACGAAAGACTTGAACCCAGTGTTGCATCAGAACTTCGTTATAGTGCACTCTAATCTCTTGGAGTAAATCCCAAAGTTGCCCCACGGAGAATCCATAATTCTAATAAGACAAAAAAGATGACATCGAAAAGATACATCTTTAATAATTATAATCTATTATGTGAAATTTATAACTTACTCTTAAAGTAGTGTTGAACAGCATAATGAGATTTTTTATCTTTAAAATAAGTGTAGCGTCTGTACAATACGCCTAAAATAAAAAACAGAGCAAAGATAAGGCAAATTTAAAAACAACTAAAGTATCCGTATTGTAGTACATTAATAATTTATATTATTGAATTTACCGAATGAGAGCGTAAGGCGTTTACTATTTTAGATAAAGCCATGGACCAAAGCTCTTCTAAATAAGAACGGGTAGCTAATCCATTACCAGTATTAAGAATATGATCCTCAACGACAAAGAAACCCAAAATACCGTGGATATATGACTGATACTCAGTTATACTTTCATGCTGTAATGAAAAATTAATTAAAAATGATACTTTTTGGATCTTAATTATTTAAAGATGTACCATGTTGATGGGAGGCTGTAAGACTAATCTGGCTTGCTGCTTTCTTTGCTGTCTATAATAAGCTTTGAAAGTATCGCCTTCACGAAGTACAGTGTAAATATGCATGCAACGGTACACTGGACTAAAATCCATTAGATCTTGGGCGCTCAGTTCTTCCTCAGCTTCTCCTGTTAAAGAATTGGTCTGAGGGCTCCTTTTTTTGCGACCAATTATTTCAGCTTCGCTTACAAGTTGTTCGGCAGTCTATAATATTTAAATTTTATGTAGTTCGATAATGAATGATGAGAGGAATTTTGATACGTAACACTTTCGATATATACGTGTCTCATAGCGACTTCACCAATTTTAGGTGAATACTTTCTGATGTTTTCCAAAAAATCTCTTAAATCTGTCATTGATGCGTCTTTAATGTTTTCACGTAATCTAGAAAAATAAGGATTACAAAATGAAAACATCGTATGACACGAGAGTTAACGTACAATGGAATTTGCTGTGTGATCTGCGAAGAAAATCTGTAATTGGTAACTTTTGGTAGATCATGATGCTCCAACTGTTCTAATGTTTTCAGTGCTGGATAGTAGCGTTTATCTTTCAGTTGTCTCTGTAGCTTTGCATAAGCTGCCAATACAGGAAGGCACATTGTTAGACTATCTACAGCAGCAGCCATGTTGCTCTCTACTTTTCGTGCCTTTACTAACTCTTCTCCTTTTTCTATAACACTTGCTGAGGTTGCACTGATACGCTTATCTAGCTCCAATATTACAGTCTAAAACATGATAAGGAATACATATAATTGTTTAAAAGTAGGATAAAGAGGGAAATGCTTTGAAAATTTACAAGAAATGAAACTAACATTTAATTGTTGAGCTTGCGTTCGAACTTGGAGCAGTTCTCGAATAGAATCAATGAATCCTTGATAATGATGATTACACATCCGCTCTATATCCTTGTCATGACTCTTCACCCTTTCATCCAATTTTTCCATAAACTTCTGATGTTCATGTCCATCGTAAATTGCTCTGTAACAGTGTAAAACATTTTTAAATAAAGATGTATAAAAATGTCTACCGATGTACAACTTTTTATTGTTATCTACTATGCAATTGTCAGGCAATATGTAATTGAATATTTAATGAGGGATAGTACCTGATAACAAGACCTACACTACTTGTATCGGTGGATTCTATCTCAAATAACAAATGTTCATGCTTCGGAGCAGCATTCGGTAAGACATTTTGAATCTGTGACAATGACAGTCTGGACATGTTGCAATTTTGTTACTACTATAAAATATTATCCAGGTTTATGTTGTCATATACATTCACCCCTTTTCATCCCTTCTAGTGCGCATATGCCGTTTGTACAGGTGCATCTGCGTACACGGACAGGGTGGTTCTCGAAACCGCGGATTTTGATAAGGTTGTCTATCCTTGAGTTAAAGTTACACGAATTAACGAACCTGAACGTGGGTCCTAGATAATCATCGATGCCTTCAATCTCTTGTATAAGTATATCGTATTGCTGCATCTTGTAAAAAATGTACTGGTACGAAAACCTACTTCCGACTTCTAAAAATGTTTCGACAGACTACAGGAGCAGTGTCATCTACATCACTGACATCATTTTGTGTATATTCACATGACGTAGCATACATGTGACGTTCGTCACATATGATAAGTAAAATTTAAATAAAGAAATGATTAAAAAAGATGAAAATTCTTGTTCTTTTAATTATAATTATACTTTAAAGTAGAAAATAAACAAAAATAATATAATTTAGATATTGCACTTTTTTTTCATTATAACAGCTAATATTCGCGCAATATAGAAAAATTATATTTACAGGTGTTGCATATTGTAATAGGACATTCAACTAATTGTTTCTATTTACAATTATAATTATTCGTTTATGTCGTCTTCATGCGAACCCGTCGTAAACCAATTACGAGACAGTTTGTGAGATGTTTAGGAAAGCAACGATTTTGCCGGGCTTTTCATTCCTTCTGCGCTGTCTGCCATCATAGAAACGAAGAACCGTTTAGAGTGATTGCTACAGTCTTAACTTTGAGAATAAAAGCAAAATCAATATCCTGGGCTAATTTAAATCCTGCAAAATGCCGAAAGTAAATACATTGTTCAATTATTTCACCTCTCCAAAAGGTGTCAAGCCTACAAATGGAAAAACGCCGGCGACCAAAGAAAAGGCTTCCACTCCAAAGAGAGGACAAAAGAACAAAGGTAAACTGCAGTTTTGCTAATTTAACAAAATATGTTGATTGTGTGCTGTGATTAGTTATTTTAGTCCGGCACATTTATTATTTATAGATTCATATTCATAATGAATGTTATTGTTTTGCTTTATATATTTTTTGTTCTGTTTATAAGTACAAGTTGTTGATTCTACTTGTTATAACTCTGTGTCGTAGCTCAACAAAAAATTAAAGGTAAAGAAAACTACAGCAATGAAGATAGGAAGAGATCATTGAAAGACGATGATGATGATGAATATGATGAGCATGTTGATGAGATATTTGCAGCACCAACCCCTAAAAAGAGGAGACTTATTATCCCTGATGAAAGTGATGGATCGGGAGACGATTTTGTACCTGGTTTGTATACTGATTATGTAAAACTATATATCATTTATGTCATACTTTGTTTAACATAATCTGCACTGTTATGAATATTATCCTAGGTCCTGGAGAAACTTCATATGAATCTGAGTCTGTTTCTGAGGGTGTGTCTGAAAGTGAACTAGAAACAGAAAGTGAAGAGGAAACTCCAAAGGTACTTGTATTCTTTATAAGGGAAAACTAATAAATAAATATACACATAGTCATCAAAATATGTATTTGATATTTTAGAAAAAAGCAAAGAGATCGACTACTACCTCAAATAAAAACCAGAAAGCCAATACAAAAACCCAAAAAACAGTAAGTATATATGAGAAATACATGCTTCCACAGTACATATTAACAAATAAAGAAATTAATTTTATTAGGGAAAGGAAGGGTCTAAGCCTTCCATTGCTCCATCACAAAATCAAGGAGCAAGTGCAGGAGCACATGTTATAGAGTCATGGCCTCATCTGAAGTATGATTTTTTGCAACCAAACAAAATACGCGACATAAACAGGAAACCTTTGACAGATCCCAACTATGATCCGAAAACTGTTTACGTTCCTGAAGACTTCAAAAACAGTCAAACACCTGTATGATTGATTTAATATTCTTTTACAGTGTTAAGTCTTAAAAATCAAATAATTTTTGACGTCTAATCTTATTATAGGCAATGAGGCAATGGTGGGAATTAAAGAGTAGACATTTCGATTGTGTACTCTTCTTCAAAGTCGGAAAATTCTATGAATTGTATCACATGGATGCTGTTACCGGTGTAAACGAACTTAGTCTTTCGTACATGCGTGTAAGTAGCATCTGAAGAGTTCGTAATATTTTAATAGAAGATCGATCTGTTTGTTACATTAAAAAAAATGATGGTAATGTTCCAGGGAGAATTTGCACACTCTGGTTTTCCCGAAATAGCATATGGCCGTTTCTCAGCGAGTTTAATTGAGAGAGGATATAAAGTAGCAAGAGTGGAGCAAACTGAAAATCCTGATATGATGAGTCAACGTTGCTCTAAAAGTATGAGTTTCCTTAAAAACTAAATATTACTCTAAATTTTATAAATTTCATATTTTATTAATTAATGCATTATTCTTACAGTGACTAAACCCACAAAATTCGATAAAGTAGTAAAGAGAGAAATATGCCAAATAAGTACAAGAGGTACTAGAGTTTATACACCGCAGGATGCTGAGGCATCCACTCCCAATTCCAATTATTTATTATCACTGGTAGAAAAACGGCACTCTACATCGACAACGGTATCATTCGGAGTATGCTTTCTTGATACCACCATTGGAGACTTCCATTTGGGACAATTTGAGGATGATCGTTATAATTCCAGATTGCTAACTCTGCTCGCGCACCATCCACCAGCTCACGTTAGTTCGTTATTCTCATTTATACATAATTGTAATATAGCTTCTTTAAAAATGACGTAACATTGAAACTACCATTTCAGGTTATTTATGAACAAGGTAATTTATCAAAAGAAACTCTGAGATTAATAAGCAGATTATTATCTACAGTCATAAAAGAACCTTTGCTCCGTGAGTCACAATTCTGGTCAGCAGGAACTACTTTAAAGGTGAGAATGTGAGATTTTCTTCCGATTTTACATTATCTGATACATTTTTATTTCCTTCCAGAATCTTCACGAAGGCGACTATTTTAAACGCGAATCAGACTCAAATTTTACCTGGCCCGAAGGTCTGCAGCCATACTTGAACGAGGGTAAATATATTAAATTAATTAAATGCTATAGTACTCTTCTACTAATAAGCTTTGTTCGAATAGGAGACAGCTTAGGATTAACTCCAGCAGAAGATACGGAACTAGCAGTATCCGCACTTGGCGGATGTGTGTACTTACTGAAAAATTATCTACTTGATCAGCAATTATTAGCGCAGGGACGCTTCCAGACGTATATACCACCTGATTTCAACACTGTTGATTCTAATGCCAAAGCAAAATTGGCCAATAATATGGTATTGGATGCCATTACAATAAATAATTTAAAAATCTTGGGGAACGAGGGCTCTCTTATTACTACTGTAGACCGCTGCTGCACCCCGTTTGGTAAGAGGTGAGTTATAGAAAACATGAAATAATTCCAGGTTACAGAATAAGAACGTACCGTTTCCGTGAATCTAGTTGTAATGGAATGATTACTCCGTAGATTGCTACGAGAATGGATATGCAGGCCGTCTTGTCGTAAATCTGTAATAATACAACGTCAGGAAGCTATAACTGAATTAATGGATAAGGTAGATGTTGTACAAAATGCTCGAGCTATGCTAGCTTCTCTTCCAGATCTGGAAAGATTGCTTAGCAAGTGAGTAGAAACGTGAATTATTATTGAAAGTTTAACTGCTAGAGTTGTACCACTTTTTATGTTACTTATTATAATTCATCTTAATCATCGGTAGAATACATGCGGAAGGTAATGCTGCTAAAATGAGAAATCATCCAGACGGAAGAGCCATTATGTTTGAAGGTAAAACGTACTCAAAGAGAAAGATATTGGATTTTACGACTACACTAGATGGATTTGAAAAAGTTTTGGACATCATTGCATTGTTCGATGGTAGTATTGTTTAACATCTCTTTTACTTATACATTTTATGGTGTTTTAAAAACATTGATTTTCAGACTTTACTAGCTCACTCATTTGTCAGTCTACCAAAATAGAACCGAATGGAGACTTTCCGAATTTGCGAGATACATTGGATCATTTTAAGGTCTTTAGTAAAATTATTATGGTTTAATTTATCGTCTCATGATTACAATTGTATCAGTATTAATACTTTAAATTGTGTAGACTGCATTTGATCACGAGGAAGCCAAAAAGGAAGGGTGTATCGTACCGAAAAAAGGTGTGGATACCGAATATGATTCTGTCTTAGAAGAATTAGGTGCTGTAAAAAAAGATCTAGATGAATATTTGAAGAAACAAAGAGATCACTTTGGTGTTAAAATATCATTCCATGGCACTGACAGAAAACGTTATCAAATTGAGATTCCTGATAGTCAAGTGAAGAAGATCGGTCCTGGATATGAATTACAGTCACAACGTAAAGGCTTCAAACGTTATTACACAGCAGAAGCAAGGGTCTGTTACCTTTATTACTTTCCTAAAAATATTAGGCATAATTGCGCAAACATAACTGATTACATTAATTACAGGAACTTTTATCAAGGCAAACCAATGCAGAAGAGCACAGAGACAAAGTTCTGAAGGATCTAAACAGAAGGGTTTTCGCAAAATTCAGTGAAAAATATGAAATGTGGAATACGGCAGTTTACAAATTGGCCATATTGGACGTCCTCATCTCATTGGCTGAATATTCTCACAGTGGTGATATGTGTATTCCAGAGATTCACGATGAAACAGAAGATGGAAAGGTAAGAAATATAAAATAAAACTAGAACCATCTAATGCACTTCTGAAAAATTCAATCATCATATTCAATTATTACCAGAATTTCATTGAGATAAGAGATGGTCGTCATCCATGTCTTCCTTCCGACAACTTCATACCCAATGACACTTTATTAGCATGCGAGGGATCTGCTTCTCTTGTAATACTAACTGGACCAAACATGGGAGGAAAGTCGACACTGATGCGCCAACTCGGTCTGCTCACAATAATGGCACAGATAGTAATTATCCACTTTTTGCAATAACATTTTCAATTACTTAATCTCTTAACCGGTTTCCTCCTTATCGTTATCTTAAGGGCTGCCATGTACCAGCGACTTCCTGTAAATTGTCACTGGTCGATCGTATCTTCACAAGACTCGGCGCCAACGACGACATCATGGCTGGACAGAGTACCTTCCTGGTGGAACTCAGTGAAACAGCAGCTATACTACAACACAGCACACCGCATTCTTTGGTACTGCTAGATGAATTAGGTCAGTTGAAACATGATACTATCGTTAATTACTTGCTGGCAGCTTCACAATGAGTCCTGTCTGATTTAATGACAATCGCAATTCATTATCTTAGGTCGTGGAACATCGACATACGATGGTACAGCCATAGCAGCAGCCGTTGTTTCTGCTCTGGTCAAAATGCAATGTCGCACCCTCTTCTCAACACATTACCACTCGTTAGTCGAAGATTATAAGACCAATGATAACGTGACATTGGCACATATGGTAAGACTACATCCTGTGTATCCTTGTTTTTTGTTTAATGCGGATGCTATCTAATCACTATGAGTATTTTTGCTACTATCATTTGTTTTTATTTCTTTACAGGCTTGTATGGTGGAGAAGGAAGAAGAAGAGGAAGTGTCACAGGAGACAGTAACATTCCTATACAAATTAAGTGAAGGAGCTTGTCCAAAATCTTACGGCTTTAATGCTGCAAGACTTGCTGGAATACCTCAAAGTATTACTAAGAGAGCCCATGACATAGCGAGTCGACTAGAACGTGAAACTAATCACAAGCATATTTTTGCAGCACTTTGCAAAGAAAATGAAACTCCTGTCAAGAGTCTTATTTCTGCTTTTTGAATAAGTATACCGCTCGTCATGTTTCATCGACTCTCTTGTTATTTAAATTAAAGTCTGCCAAATGAATTTTGTCTTTTTTTTTTATTAACATAAATATTAATACTAATTGCATTGTTTTGTATCCAACGAATTATAACGTTTCAATATATTGTTTATTTAATATCTTTCAACTAGAATTTTGTTTTTTTATGAACCACAGAGAAAATATCTCAGATTTAAAGAGTAGTCCTAAGAGGAAAGGATATCTGTTGAAAATAAATATTGGTAATGAATGATAAATATATGTATTATTTTTTCGTATTGTTTACAAAATGTTTATTAATCAATGCCAGAGTACAAAAAGGGTATTCACGGGAAATGCGATACATCACAAACCATGTAAATTTGCAGTTTAACTCACACCAAAACGAGGAAACATACTTTGTGGAATAAAAGTGAAAACAAACATATACGTATACATAATATGTAAAAAGAGGTTTCTCGCCGATAAAATAAATACATTGAATTTCCGGGTGTGTCGTACGGTGACAAAGCGAATTAAAGAAACTAAATGCGACTGGGTAAAAGTTTACATTAATCAAATACGTTCGACACTAGACATCGTCATTAATTGGGATAAACATCGATAAATAATTGAATAGCTATTAATAGAATAATCGAATGCGTTGGGTTACCGTATTATTTATTATACGTAATTAATGCATCGAAATCTCATATCAGCCGAAAATAGACACAATCGTTATCCCGCTCCTTGGCAGGTAGGCTAATATAGTAGGCAGTAGAGCAAGTACTCGCCGAATTATAAATGCGAAATGTGAAAAGGCACGGAATTAAGAAAGCACTTTATTTGAAGTGAATACAATGTACTTTTATTAATATGTTCCTTTTTCTTTTTAATTATTCTCGAGAAACAACTATCTAATGTACAATTTCGGTACGCCGAAATCGATTATCGTCCGCTAGCTTAATCGCTAATTATAATCTCATGCGGACCGTCACCAATTGTGAGGGGGAGGCAGGAGGTGGGACGGGGAGAGGGGGGGAGTTAGTCTTTAATTTAAAGGAATTTCGGGAGATCCGATGACTCAGGACTCTTTCGATTTAAAGATAACTGCAATCGATTAATCACCAATCAATTGGACAGGATCAAACTTTACCGCACTTTATACGATGCTGCTAACGCTTTTAATATTTATCTCCGCTAAAGTCGAAAATAATTCGACGCTAATGAAATTTTTCTAGTTTCTTTTCTTTTTTCATTCTCTTTCTCAAATCGTATAACTTCAGTCATTGTGGGTTTCGTTTGCTTTTAGAGTCTAATTCCTTTCCGCTATTCTATCCTTTCGCCAACACTTTTTTAATATTTTTTTTTTTCTTCTCATAAGATAATAATCTTGTCCTCGTCTCATACGTCTTTCGGAATCTCAAAAAGTAACGACAGGCCAAGGTGTATTTTGAAGCGAGGAATTTTTAAAAATGGTTTTTGCTTTTTTGATGTTACGAGTCAAGTCATTTTATCCGGCCTTTACCACAGCCCAGAGGAATATCCACCAGGTGGTACGCGATTACGTCCTTGCATCCTTCCACCTCCAGCACCCGGCGATGTCTCGTTTGATGACTTTTCCACGCCGTTCGTATTCGCATTCGCGTTAGCGTGTCCATTTTGCACCGGAGTGCCGTTGTTCTGCGAGTCCGGTGAATATCCAGTTCCAGTTACCGGGTTACCATCTAGAGAAAGATAACGCGATAGACAATTACTCGAGAATCAGAAACATCACCGCACACGTTTTAGGAGAGAAGACCATCATTTATTCAGAATCATTAATTGCCAGTGTCCCTGTGCATCTACGTGCCTGGGGCTGCCTTTACTCGCGAATTTGCAGCTTAACTTTTGTTCTTATATGAAAAAATTACAAATTTCTCCTTACAAAAGTAACTCGTGAACTGTATGAAATTTCTGGCTATTTAAATATTTATTACAAATATAAATATTCCCTTTTCAGAGGTAACTCTCTTTTTCATGAGATTGTCCGGGCATGCACTAAATCCCAGCACGACTATTGTCCCCCGGTATCATCCATGCTCCTTCTATAGTGAAAATTTCCAATTGAAGCAGTTTCTAAAGAGCCACTTATTTCATTCCATTTTTATGCCACCAGATTGAAAATGACTTTTGACACAGGACATTAGGATCTTACCATCTGAAAATTGGAACTGTCGAATCATCATTAAGGTGAATTCATGTGCATTGGTAGAAAATGATTTTTGGACAGTTGGCACGTTGAGACTACAATTAATTGAGTACTGAGCTTGTCAACTCGTTTCTATAGCACACGATACCCGGCCAGGAGACATTCGTATTACAATATAGAAATAGAAGAAGAAATTGTACTATAAACTGCACAAGACTAAATATATCTTTAATATATGCTAATTAGAAAAAAAAAAAAAAAACTTACCCTTCTAATCTAGAGTGATCAACACTTACTGCAAAGAGTTTGCCAAATTTCATTTTAAAAAATGCACACACCGAGTATCATTGAGAAGATCATTAATCGACTCCAAAGAAATTTGAACAGGAAAGAACATACGAAATTCGGCATAACCCTTGTTCCTTGAAAACGGTGCACTGCAAGATCCATGCAGAGACCATACGAATTTGATCTCAAGACTGTATTAAAAGCTACGAGACAGTTGGATCGTTAGTTTAATCAAAATAAATCATTCCCAATGATCCATCTGTCTAATTGTAAACTATAATTGGAAGTGCCGGAGATTGACCCGTCGATGACTGTTCTCTTATTTTTAAAAATCATAAGGTACATCATTAATTACATTGACTGTCATCGAAGGACCATCCATAGTAATAGAGTGAATTAATAGATAAAATATATCCACAGGATGGGATCTAATTAAGTGTTTCATTCTAGGATCTATGAGGGAGTAGAAAACTAGAGTAGAAGGAGGAGTAACGTACCATAAGTATATATAGATATAGATTTTATAAATTTCAAATGCCTGGGAAAAACGTTACCTCTACATTTTCGTGCGCTGCGCCTGACTGGCGTCACGTCAACTCCATCTCCGGTGACCGGGTTACGTGGCATGCAGGACGATCCTCCTGCAGGAACCACAGGACAGGACGATCCGCCACATACCCAATAAAGCCAAACAAATTCACCCATGCACCACGACACACCATTGCGAAACCACCACAATTCGCCCCAATCACATGTTAAGAGTGTGTACCAATTAATTGTGTGAACGAGTCAAACATATGATAGTAATTAACCAATCACTTAATAAATTTACAAATAGTATTGAATAGAAAGAAAAAAAAAGAAAATTCAAGTTGGACTCGTTCACGTGTAAGAATTAATAAGAAGTAAAACGGCAAGAAACATATCAATGGTTAAATGATAATGAGTTTTGATTCGATGTATGATAATAAATATTGAAAGTTAAGATACGTGTATCCGTAAGAAACAGAAATAGAATTTGATTATAATAAAAAAAAAATTAAAAAGCTTTTGCGCGAGAGTCGTGGGTCACTTTCTGTTAATAAATCTTATTCGTACTTTTAATTTCGTTGAAAGTGTGTTTATGGCTGTCGACCATATTGATTTCGGTTTGCGAATGAATTCAAGAGTGAAACAGAAGAGGGCGGTCGGAGGCTCGTGGATGATAAGCAAAAAATAAATGATAAGTATATATACAAAATCTAAGTAGACACACGTGTAGTGAACTACAAAAAAAAAAGGTGAAAACTGTGAAACGAATCGTTAAGCAGAAAAGTTACCGCAAAGTAAGTATTGATTAACGTAGTAACAACTGTGATAACGATGGTATGACTAACTCAAAATATGTGTTTCCAAATTCGTGAAAGAGGCCCCTCTACGCTTTGCAAAGGTTCAAATAATATGTAAGTTCTAAGTCGCGACTGAATGATGAGTAATGATCTCTATGTTCCCCGGCATAAAGTCGAGTCAATCAATAGTCTATACAATGTAGTGTGTAGAGAGTGTCGTGTCATCTACTTGTATGTCTCGTAACACACTTACGAAATCGTTTGTTTCTCCTAAAAGCTGCTTGTGAACAATTCAATAGAGACGATGTGCATTGAGTGACAATTTTCTAATTGGCCTGATAAATTAAAAATTTCCTACTGTCCTCCGACAATAATTTATCGACAACAATACAGAGGACCAAAGTCAAGTCAAATTCGATACTCTTTAAATTCCTCCGTACAAAACTTTCCTAAATACGACTTACGGTACAGTAACCGTCACAAGTATACGTCATAGTTCTCTGATTTTGTTCTTAGACTATTTTCTATTCTTTTTTTCTTTCTGAAGGAGGCCTTTTTATTATACACATATTTCAAGATAGCGGTACGACCAATCGGTATGTTACCTGTATTATCGATGAAATTAGCGTTGATGCCGTTGCTAGGGGCATTCCCGTTGTGACGAGTGCCGTTGGAGTCGATGCTCCTAGCTGGAGAAGAAATGGCCGAACTCTCACCGCAGAGTGAGATATTGCTGCGCATGTGATTTTTCGAGTTTGGGGTAGGTGGAGCATCGGGAGGACCAAACAGACGTTTGTATGAATCATTACCAGGCTTGTTGCCACGAGGGGTATCGGAGCAGTTGTTGCTCCCGCTATTGTTCTCGCCAAAAATCGTCGATCCCAGCTGGGACTGATTGTGATTCTTCACCCGGCGAGGACTCGTTTCCTCGGGAGCAGCGCCGAAAATATCACTGCTTCCACCGCCAGGGGGTTTCAGTACCCTGAAACAAGAGAGAGACAAAAGAATTATTACCCAGGAAGGCGTGCGCGAGTTAACACGTACAGCGAAAAGAAAAAAAAATTTGCACGTGACAAAAGAAAAAGTTTTAAAAACCGGGCCTGGGGTTTAGGGAAAATTGCGAAATTGCCGTGGCTCCTTTTGTACACGAGAACAATAGACAATGGTCCAGAGTGACACGCGTTGTCGCGTGTGTTTCTTGCGCGCACGAACCCGGTGTAAAGGAGGCGTGTTAGCGCGTGCCAATATTCGCTCGAATGCACTCTAGCTGTTATTGCGATAATTAGTCAAAAGCATGGCATACCTTCTTCGTTTTTACAAGTTCCCGTAACGTTTATCTATACCCCATTTGCATTCACTCCTTGCAATTACCGCAGTGCAACCCTCGGTGCGTAAGATACACGCGTCCATACCCTATTAGACCCTTTGAATTACCATGTAAAAATGCAACCCTCCGTGTGTGTTTTTTTTAAACTTCTTTCGCGGCGATGGACGAAACGTCAATTTGAACTTGAGACCCGATATCTCAAGAGCACTGGCAGTACAGTTAAATAACGAGGATAATCAATCGATCGTGGGATGTTAAGAATCCTGACGGAGTAATGAAAGAGACAGGATGGGTGTGCCCGGGAAGTAATCGTCGGTTTAGCAACGTAACCAAGAGCTATTCCTAAGGTCGCTATCGAATTGTTTTACTGTCCAGATAACAGATTATAGGCGCTGTGACGCACACGCAATGACTATAATATAAATAAATTTTATATACACGGCATTGTCATTACATAATATAAAAGTCCTGTCGCGCACTATACATATGCAGGTTCTATCTATCGATTCTGTCTTCTTGAAACGGCCCAGATACGTTGCCCAGGACCAAGAGCCAAAATGGACATAGAGCCAAAATGGAGCATGAAAATAGGTCGAATAGACCGCAAAGCGCACGAGTTAGGAAGTAGATAAGATTTTTGGTCGTATTGAACGAATTAATGCAACCAAAATGGAGAGTAACACAGAGCGGAACGATATTTCGATATTCGGATGAAAAAAAGTTCGTACCATCTCGGTCGCGTCGCCACGACGTCCCCGACGTACCTCTCGACCGATAACGGGAGCATCACGAAAACGAATGTCTATTAGAAGGAAGGAAGGATTCATCTTCACGAAAGCGACACAGTCGTCACGCCACATCGATCTTTATATTATTAAAGGACCTTTGCGACGTTACCGTGCCAGGCGAACGAATTGTCAACATTCCGTAAATAGCATACGGGCGTATATCTACACGGCAAGGAAAATATGGATGTTCATCGATAATAAAATTATCCCATCGCGACGATCGTGCTTAACGACTGTAGGCGAGTAGTTGATTGCAACAGACTAGATCGACGGTAGAGAAAGAGAAATATGTGTTTCAAAGATACGAAATATCGACAGTAAATCGACAGAGGAATATGTAACCGTGAAAAATACCAGTTACAAAGAGGAAATTGTTATTACGCCATTATTCCATCGCGTGCAGCGTAATTATAAATTACCACTGTGCACGGCTGTATAAAAGCGATGCGATTCATAGAGCTGTGGGAGCCGCTACGTGAATATTGAAATAAGTTTCCGTGACACAGAATTTCCACGTGCCGATGCGTGCTGCACGGTGCGTCTGCGGCAGGAGTGGTTTGAGGCTTCGCCGAGGCGTGAACGACCAAAAAAAAAAAAAAGCAAGAATATTACCGAGTTACATCCGGATTCCAAAAAATAAATAATCCCAGCTACGAGTGCTTCGGTTATCATGAAATTTTTTTCTGCAATTATCGTCATCAACCTCGTTACGTTTAACTCCGAGATATTCGTGAGCTTAATAGCCCTTGCCGGGTTCAATGGAAACGTAAATACTCGGTGCGAGCCATTCGACTGGTCGCGTCTAGTGTAATCGGACGTAGCAATTACTGCTGTCAGTCGGTAGCTTGTAAACCGGCACGTGTGAAGCTACTAAGCGGGCACGAGACATTGCGATGCGATTGAACATGAAGGTGGCACCCGCAATTGCGTTAAAGTCGACACTGGGAAGAGTTGCGGAATTGAATGATAAAACGTGCTAGAAGACGGGTGACTAAGCAATGGAAAATAAATATGGAAATGAATTATCAATGACTTTTGTATAGGTCGTAACAATTTGTTGTGTATATCCCCTTCAAGGATCAGTGACTCGATTGAACGGCTAATGACGGCCCGGACTAGGCGAATAAGTGCATCGCCGGACTTATGGCTAATGGTATATATATCTCAATGAGCGACCTTATAAAGGAAGTAGTTTACCGGCTGCATTGACTTTAAACACGTTTATAAGGAGCGCCGAGACGTTTCAGTCTTAGGAATGATCGATGTACGTGAATTCATGGGGAATTTGCTTGGATTGGCCAATTAAGTGTAACTATACCGATCAATCCTATGGAGGACCCACTCGAGACTCGATCGATTCCGTAAAGCCGCTGATTAATGGGACTTTTATCGGTACCATTTGTGCAACAGATAGGAGTCAATTGAATGAAACAGTTCGGTAAATTAAACGATGCCTACTGCATCCCACCCACTTTTACAGCATACATATCTATAGTGAAACGAGTGTAGACGGAGTAGTAAAAAAATTTTATTGTTCAAGGAATTCTAAGGTTAGCTCTTTCCAGTCTATCGATTACGGCACGAGCTACCCCTATTACCTATTCTAGTGCACCTATGAGCAAGGGGTGCAAATACCCAGTAACCGTATACTGACTTCTCTGAAGATTATACCTAGAATCAATGACCCGTGCACGACTTCTGTAAAACTAAAGGTGCATTCAGAACTGGCGACGCTAACGTACGGTAAAAGAGAATCCCTTTGAAAAATGTGCATTATCATTGCATTCTAAGGGTAGGACGATCGATTTCGAAATTGATAAATTGCATTTGAAAGGACCGATGGAATGAGAGTCAGTATCGTTGGGTGGCTTCGTTGCGAACGCGTCAACTGGGAAATCCGACTTTCTGGGGAAGCCTTACTTTCATCAGCCCCAGGATGAAGCCCCGTACTCAACCCCCAAGCGTCGCGACGCGATTCTCATTCGCATTCGCGAGGGGTGAGTAACCTATGCAGTTTACCCCGTCACCGATCTGACTAGCTGGTATATAACGTTGAGGAATTGAGACAACCCCCCCACAGTACTTTAACCCCTAGTAATATCCAGTATCCTTCGCCACCCTCTGGTAATGACAACAGCCCTGAAACTTAACCCTCTACCACCCCGACGAGGCGTCATTAAAGTAATGCGATATTTGGCTAGTGGAAAAATGCAAGTCAGTCTAGACTTCGTACAGATAGAATTGATTCTTTTACGTAAACATATTTGCCAGCCACGCGCCATGGGCGCACATAACCTATAAGATCGATAGCCTTTAACGTTCAACAAAAGTAAACGTGGCCACAATGAGGATCTTCTTCAATAGCTAATTGAACATTAATTAAATCGTCCTCTAATCGTACCACTAATTCGATCTACGCTGCCATTAATCGCTTACATTTTTGGCTCGCCAGACTTTTCCTTAACGATAATTATCAATTAAGTATTAACCTCCTTAATGAAACCTTCCCTAACAAGGTTAACGAGGGAGTGTACCCTTTTAAGCTGTGCGTGGGTTACTCGGTTTTTTTTTAATCTCTAGCCTCCTTTATTCATCCTTGGAAGAAAATACATTTTCGGACGGTGACGGCAATTCGCAGAGCTGCCAAAGAAGAGTCAGGAGACACGAGAAGGATGGCGTGAAGCGAAGGAAGAAGGAGAGGAGTGTTAAGGCAGTCAAAAAGGAAGCGTCGAACTGTCAAGGAGATACGTGTGACTTGGAAAAGGAATGCAAAGAGCGTCTTCTCTTTGAGGGGAAGAAGCGTGTTACGTGTTATGTACGAGTCGGTTTATTTATCGGCTGGAACAAAGAGCCCAGTGTAATAGCAACCATAGAGAAAGCACTGTCGAAGAGCGAGGAGTTTCGATCGCTCGCGAGCAGAGCACGATAATTTATCCTTCAATTCGATAAACATCGAATCGATCGATCCCCTCGATCTGCCAAGATCGATCCAGGCGTGAGCGTGATAGGGAACCAGTGTTATTCACGCGCGCACGAGAATGTACTAGAATTTCATGGCCCGTAACGGGCTGGCAGACTCGTTACGTTAGGTTCCTCAGTGTCCTGAGATAGGATAAATATTAACGAGTCGACGGCTAAACTGGTATGTACGATCATCGTCCTGACGCGAATTCAGTTATGCCGGACGTTGCCTAATCAATCGTTAAATCGTAGAATCATTGAGAAACGATGATCGAGCACCTGTACAGGGATAGGAGTTACCGGGAACTTTGACAAAACACAGCCGTGTAGACTATGCAGTTCCGTCCGAGTCGTAGTCACGCTTTCTAAGCCCAGCTGGCTCTCTGCGCCCGCAGTTCTTATTTCTTGCTACTCTTCTTCGTGTTTCTTTTCTTTTTTTTTTCAACTATCTGTTTTTACTAGACAAGTCCGGCTGCAAGGATGGATACGAGGTCGTAGTCGGACGATGATTTTCCGCTTTGGGATTCTTTTACTGGAGAAGGGGATCTAAATCTGGATATATATACACATACACACAATGGAGAAGTGATAAGAAATAATTGTATAGTTATACCGTCTGTATGTATTCTTGTGTAAAAAACGAGAAAAATCGAAATATCGAGGGAAAAGAAAATGGCAAAATTTCAACAGACTCGTCACGGTTTAATGAAAAAGTGGAATCGACTAGAATGACCTGAATGAACTCGAGAACGGGGAAACCTTGAATATATGCTCATTCACCCTGTAAATTTAACCTCCTTTCTGCAAGCATGCAACCGGACAGATTTAAAAAGTTTATATTCCCGCTTCGTTACGCTTCTTGGACGCCGCTGAATAATTTTAACAAATATTTAGTCTACCGTTTTTCCTCAATTAAAACTTACTCAACTAATCAGTTGCGTTTTTAATTCGTTTTATAAAATCAACATAGGTATATACATGCAGTCTTTATTTTTATTAATCACATTCGCAGATTCAAGGTCGGAAAGAATCGACAAGCAAATAACGAAACTGCACGAGTATTACCAAATGAAAAAAAAAAAGTATGGCATGATCGTTAGTACATACTGTTGTCAGGAAGTGGGCACGGCCTTTTATCAGAGAGTCGGCACGCTTATCGCATCTAACACGGTAGACACGTAGAGAGAAGATATTTAAAAAAAGAAAAGAGAAAAGGACAACAAAAAGCCGCCGATGTTAAAGGAGCGTGTCACTCAAATGTCACGATACGAAAAACAGTTTCGCAAATGCATAACAGCACAACGACGTCGTTCGGTCGTTCTCAGAAAGCAAGCGAATTAAAAGCATCGTCGCGAGATACCTGGAAGGATATTCGATTCCGCGAATGAGTCATCCCAAGGCACTTCCGGTACTCTGAGTAAACTTCTCGCTTTAGGAAAACATTATTTCACGGGGCAGACGTGAACTCTGAGTGCTTAGCACGTGGGTGTTGCCCTGTGTGGAATTATCGGATATATATATGTATACGAGATGCACGCACGTCGTTTCAAAGTTACTCTACGCATTTTCATATTCAACAAACAGTTCGATATATGAAACGACTGTGTGAAAAATCCGTCATTTAGCATGACGCTATCGCAAATCCAGCTCATGCAGTGAAAAAAAAAAGTACAAGTCTCTCGAGCATAATTATGCCTATGTTTATCATAAAATACAGTTAACACAGTGACTGACATACGGTATAACTGGCAACAGTCATTTTTCAATGGCTACTTAATTTCTTGGTTAGGTTAAGTTAGCCATAGTGAAATACCTAGTAGACTGTACTTTTACGTATATATTTGCAACAACTATATGTATAGTCAAACAGTCAAAGTATAATGGTCCACGCAACGGTTGTATGGTCCTCGTAATCACTCTTCTTTAGCTGTGGTAATAATATTCGTCAGCCATAATACCATAGCTACTGTACTTATATTACGTGGCTACTGTGAAAATATATATAATTTTCGCAGCTAAATTTTTATGAATAATTTAGCCATAATCTTTCACCCATAACAGAATCGTTGTAACGGCTATAAGATTATTTACAGTGTAAAGACAGTCGTTTCCACGAGTAATTTCAATACGAGAACTTCGCACCTTGAATCTACGAGACATTGACCGCTCTCCGTAACGTTGAAGCTCGCGTGTAGACGTTATCGAGCGCGTTAAACTTTATTGAGGATGTGTAAACGAGAGACGAGCGAGTGTTTCGGTGAAATTAAACAATTTTTATATGACACTTAAGCGCATTGACGTATCGATAGAAACTGATAAGAGGAATCGATAAGAAGGCATGAAAACCTGAGAAATTTCTTTAGGACAAAAAAGGCCAGACTCGGTTTATTATGCGTGATTTGTGGAAGAAAATTTATAGTGTATACCCATTGGTTTAGGAGTCCCGTTACAAGAAGCATTTCGATCGATTTTTCTTATCAGTCAAGTGGGAAAAATGTTCGATGACTGATAAGACACGAAACAATAGGCAAGGTATAACATTAAATCTCAGAGTTTTCCGGAAATGAAATTTTAAATGAATCCTCAGACGTTTTATTGGAACGTAACGCCTGTGCCTGGTATCGATTAACATACCATTTGCATATCCAAGAAAGAATCGAAGGATGATTTTTGCAAAAGTCTCAACTATTTTTTTAAATTTTCTTAATGGATTCTCTCGTTAGTCGTGTCATACTCTTTGAGATTTTTGAGATAAATTTTGAAATTTTTCATCGCGTGCAATTTTTATGAGATTTGAGCAAAACTCTCGAGTGACCTTAATATCTCGATCATTCACAACTCGTACGGAAAATTTCTGCAGAGAAGATCGATCCGGTTCCACTTTGGTCCCGGGAGCCTGGAAGCTCGTTACCGAGGCGCAGGAGCGAATCGACTATTCAACGACCCTATAGAAATTTCAATAAAAGCTCAGCGTGCAAGTACGAAGGAAGATTTGCAAGCCGTGCTTGCAGCCCTCGTAGAGGACCACTTTGATGATCGACCCGAAGACGTTGGGTGCAACGTCAACGAAACGAGGAGTGGTAGCGCTCCCCCTCTTAGCCCACAATGCGGATATTACTTTTTTTTCCTAATAGTTAAAAAATAACATTTACCTCTTTTTCCCATAGCCGACATTGTCGAGTTCGACATGCCTATAAGCGGCGTAGGTGGCCATTCTGGACAACTCAGGGACAACTCAAACGAGGATAATCAATGATGCTCCTGGAGATTTCCAAAATGAGGAAAAGTGGACGCTGACCTCCACTCGGGTCAAGATCTTCGATCGGTTCGTCCCGTAAATGGGGATGCGCGTTTCTCCCTTAAATCGCGTTCCTGGATTTAATTAACGGTGAGAAGAGACACACGAACGTGAAGATAACGAGTACGTAAAGTTTAACGATGCTAAAACTGCCGTGCACTAGGAATTTACTTTTCGCGAGGTTACGTAAGGTTTACTGCGGACGCGAAGATTAAATTGCAAAGATCCAGTTGGGATCGTAACAAGTTTACAAGTATTAGAAGGAACAAGGGAAAAGCGATGCGCGCGGGTTTCGCGTCAAGAGGCGAACTGGCAGCTGAGTCGAGAGTAACCGGTATATAATACCACCACCACCGTACCGACCTGCTGGCAGGCAGCCCCACCTTGGAGTCGTTCCGTTCCACCCCCGCGACGCAAACGCTACGCTGACGCTAGAACGCCGACGGGTTTGGATGGCGACGGCGGCGTCGCCGTCGTGCATTCACCTCAATCAATACGCGCGGCTAACCAGACTAGGAACATGGTGAAGCGGCTGCATAGGTGTGCACCACCTTCTGCAGCTCTCCGAATGGGCCACTGGCAATATCGTATATCTGGTTAGCTTCACCGGATACCCCAAAGAAATATCCGGTGCAGACCTTCTGCAAATGACGTGACGCGCGCAGATGGAGGGGGGAGGGACGCGCTGCTTTTCATTTCCGGTACCCAAATTTTCAGGGCTTCCGCGTCCCTGCTGATCTCTATTCTGATGGTAATGGTACCAGGATCATCCCCCTGATCGATCCTATGTTCCCTGGCCTTTCCTAAGGTCATCCAGGGGTGCCACTGATCGCGTCGCAGTCCAGAGGTTTCTTTGGCTTTTACCAAGGGCTGGAATACACCCGAAGCCCCATTAGAGTTTTCACTGGCGTCCTCGATATTTTGTATATTCAAGGAACTCGTGTGGATAATACTTGGGAGACACGTCGGCAGACGTCTCCACGGATGAGCGGACATTACTTTGCGCTCTGACGGACAGAGTCTACCCTGGTCGATACTAATTGTCGTACCGCGGGATAAATTCAGAGACACGGAGAAGGAATGTCGCTAATCGCTCGAGCGAGACGAACATTTGACCAGCCGTGAAAACGTAGTTTCTCGGAAGATCCTATACCAGCCAGACGATCGTCCGGTGTAAATTAATTTAAACTCAGCGGCACTGGGCATCGTCGTCACCTTCCACGGGAATACATTCCCGAACGAAGACATGGAAGATCGGAGTGTCTAAGAATAGCGAAGCCACTGGGTAATTAAGTATCACCCGTTCATTAACAGAGCGTCCTGAGCTCAAAATGTCTTTGAGACACGAGTAGCTTGGTAAAGCTCTGAAAAAAAAAAAAAAAAAAATTAAAAAAAAATAGTCCCCAACTACCGAATCCCACTAACCAACTCGACAACTGGGACACGGATCGTCGTAAAATCGCGTAACCGTTCTCCTCGCTTAGAAAGCATCCAATCCTCACGGCTGGTACCCCAAGTCTGAATCGCGGCCTCCTTGAGGTTTTAAGAGAAATCCCGGCAATCCCACTTACAATTACAGCACGATAATCATGCTCGGTTAGAGTTTACGTTAATAGACGCTCCTCCAAACCGAGAACCAAAGGCGTTTATACTTAGTCAGTACAGTAGTCGAGCGTCCAGCCGGACACGACGAGGTACCACCCGAGTGGCTCAAACGAAAGGACGACACGAACTATGCAACCGAAATAAGAAGTCTAATATTAGTCAGACGCATAGGTATTCGTGCCTTGGGTTTACGTCTGTGCGAAGAAATCCCTATATAGATAATCGCGGCCACTTTAAAATTCACTGTAAGACCATATCGCCTAAGCGCTAATGGATAATAACAGCGTGTATCAGTGATACACGCGTTCGTAAATACCAGACATTAATCCAACACCCAAAGCAACGAGGTGATTCCAGTTTCTATGGCTGAGAGTTGGACGAGTTATCGCGGTTGCAGAAAATTCCCCCAGGTGAAAGCCATTATCGTCCGCATGCAGATCCGTCTGTTGGCTCCACGCGCGTACGTCTCACGTGTTGCTGGATAAACTGAGCGTTGCGTTTTCATCTAAGTCAAACGTTCAAGAAGCGGCAAGACTAATCGGCATGAAGACGAAGGCGAAAGGGTCTTGAAGATCGTTACCGACAGAGATTCATATTAGCGTCGCATTCAGTACGCACGACGTACAGGATTCACCAGACGCGAGTCGAAGGCCATTAAAGGCATTAAGTGCATAGTGCACCGGTATAAAGACGCAAGTGCCATAGGAAATGGCATTAGGTGCACTGGAGATAATTGAGAGCAGTTGCGCTCGAGAAATACTACCTATATAATCGTGTACCGTATGAGACTCGTAAGAAATCAAAAGGTGACCCGATCCTCGATTCTCAAGAGAGTCCACAGTCCTCTCGAGCCGGCTGACTTTTACCGTGCAAATATACAAAAGACCTTATGACTTTAATTTAACACTGGACTAATCACGACCAGCGGCGCTTTCCTCGTGAGTCGAGCATCGCGCACCTTTTAAACTTTCATGCTCTCCGGCACCGAGAGCATCATCCTCTTCCTGAGCATCCACGTGTGTGCTCACTGCTGTTCTTTAGTAGCGACGCGGTTAAACAGTCAATTAACGTAATGACCGAATGAGTGTAATTGCATGGACGGTTTCGACCCATCGTGCACGTTGTACACGGTGGCCGCTGGTACCACGGATGAATTCTCATTCTAGTTTCCTCGAAGAGAAGTCATTTGTAGATTCACCGCGTCGAGTACCTGATGTTCTTAGGTTATTTTGAATTGGCAGGAACTTTCTGAAATTCAAGGTTACCTTTGAGTACTGCAATCAAAGTGACCTGAACCTGAGAAATTATATGTGAAACAGTTACGTAGTGTCGTACGACCTTTCTTTGACGAGTTAGAAGTCAGTCACATGGACCCTGACCTACCTCTTGCCTCAGGGATCCATTAACACAGCACGCGTCAATGATTCGAGATCATTTATGCGGTCTGTCTATACGTCTGTCTGGTATCTAGGTCCCTGAGCTCCTCTGGGACCTGCAGAGACTACAGTAGTGGATCCTTGCGTAGAAGCGAAATCCACCTGACAAGGTTTATGGAATTGAAAGAAAGCTCCGGTAGGAATCTGGAAAAACTGATCTGATCCACCTATGTCCTTGGTGATAAAAGCATAGCGGTTCTTCACGCGCCAGATATGGCACCGATCACACCGACGTCTACCAGTAGATTCTACAGTGTCAAAAATTGTACGAAGATCGCGTAAGCGTATTTTCTTATTGATTTTAGTCGAATTCACGTGCAACCAGCTGAAAATGGCCTAAATAATATTTTAGTATCGGCTATAAAAAATCGATCGTCGAATCCTACTTGACCCTGTACGGTTACGATACTTGTAGGTATCGTGTGAGAGCTGTCAAAATTGACTCGTACCATTGAGCTGGTACGACTATACGATTCGTATTCGTACTCTCTTTATCTCTCTCTCTGTTTCCTCTTTCTACACTCTCGTTCAAGTGAAATATCGAGCTGCTACTTTGTTTACTAAACACACGTGCAAGTTTGGCTTTACCGAAAGGATCCGCGAGAAAAGCCAACGGCTTGCACGTCCGCTACTACGGAGTAGCTATTTCGACAAGTTCACAAGGCGCTACGTGTTTTCCGAGAAGTTTAGCGTCGTGAATGCGTCTAACGATTTAAACGTTACAGTATATCCACGCGAGTCTTTGAAATTGCGAATAAATCTCACGCGACGTACAAGCTAAGGATTTTCGTGCTATTAACGAAACAAGGAACCAACGTCGATTCCCGGTGACAATGATCTTGTAATTTCCGAACGTTCTGCGAAATCCTTCGAATTAAGACGGCATCGCGTCACGGGTTAGCCTCCGTGTCTCGTAATAAAAGCTAATTAAGAAGGCTCGTGGGTTCGCTTTAAGCTATTCCAGCCACCAGATTTAGTAATTAGTCACCAGCCGAGTAGTCCAAGAGTTCAGCGACCCGCAGACCGAGCGAACCGTGTTTCGTACGACGGACGGAATCAGCAGTCTCGCTTATTGACGTGCAAAGAAATTTCCAAGAGAATGAGGTACGAGAAAAAAAAAAGATCATAAGAAATAGCAAGAGAGAGAGAGACGGAAAATAAAAGAGAAGCAATCGGTAAGTACACAATAAATATTTACCAAAACCCAAGACCGTCCACAGTCCTGCTCGCAAATGCGACATACACGCGGAACATACGAGAAAGGGGATACAAAGCGTAGTACGGCGACAATCACTCGGTGGAAGAACGGAACGGTCTTACGGAAGAGGATTCCAGAGAGAGGAGGGAGACTCGTTGGCATTTCTTTAATCCCAACTCAGAGAACAAAGAGGAAGAAAAGTGTCCTCCGAATGGCCGGAGGATCGACGTAATATCCTACGGCGAAGAAAAGGCGCAGGAACGTTCAGCGGAGGCAGGAAGAAATGGATCGGTGGCAGCCTTGGAGTCGCGCAGGGTTAGACAATGGAGTCGTCGATGCAACCACATCCGGTGGTCGTATCTCCTGCGCTGGCCTATACGACCAATAGGCAAGTCCCCCTGCCATCCCGAGGACTCTAAATAAGTACGTGACACACGTGAATACGTTACGTGAACACGTTCCAAGCTCTGATTTCATTCGAACTCGATAAGCACGACTGGATCAGAAGTCATCGGCTTCATGATCAAGAGCAACATCGAACGAAGGTCGTAAGCTGGTTAAACCATCGTCTAACAGAAGCGGTCTCATCTTCAAGGGTTTTTCAGAGTCTTAGGAGCCCACTGCTGTTAAGAAAGCAGAATAACAAAAGACAAGACTCCGACGTGCCAGATAGGAAGCCGCAACACGCTAAACCCAAGGCAACGATCGATACTCCCTTTTTGGAGCCGCGGTAGGTCTACCGAAGAGTCCTGGAGGAGGGAAAGAGCGAGGCGAGCTGGTAAAATAGCGAGCACGCGCTTAGCTAGCAGCCCAGTACTGTAAACCGACTGGGAGAATGAAAATTTTCCGAGATTCCTCAACTGAATGCGATCTTCGATGTTTCCCAAGCGGAGCGAACCTGTCTTCTTCGAGCCAGCGTTCGGTAACGGTAGATACCGGTGAGGGATACTTACGCCAGAGATTCCGGCAAACGGAGTAAAGAAGAAGGAGAGAAAACGGTGGTCGAATCGATGGTAATGGTAAGGCAGGTTAAAAATAAAGGAAAGACGAAAAGGAGGAAGAGAAAAAAAAGGACAAAGCGTTCGAATAG